AGCACTGTAGATTGCTCATATACCCAAACACATATTAACCCAGTTTAATGCTGATTATCTTGTTCCAAGATCAAGGATGATCGCCCTAGAATGACGGTGCTGCCAACAGGGCTGACTCTACAAGGAATAACTTTATGAGCTTTACTTAATTAATTTCATCTTGACTTAATCTAAATTCTATGGAAATCAAGTAGATATTTGCCCCGGTTCCATTTAGAGCAGGGGTAGGAAACTTTGGCTCTTTTATGACTTGTGGAGTTCAACTCCCAGAATTCCTGAGCCAACTGGCTCAGGGATTCTGGGAGTTGAAGTCCACGAGTCATAAAAGAGCTAAGGTTGCCTACCCCTGATTTAGAGGCTTAAATGAGGTCTTCAATCTGAAAAAAAGGAACACGGTCCTGATTTAGAGAGCCATGCTTTTATTAAGTATCAGCTACGACAGTTTTTTCTCCATACAGTTACTGAAAATAAAACAAGCCATATACAACATCATCCCCTTATTTTGGGAGATCTATTGCACTTTTTAGGATACGTTTTACCCTGCTTTTTAAATTCATTTTATTTGTTTTATTTTAATAGGGGAACATTCTGATCTCTTATATAAGTTATCTAAAGAAGCAGTTAAGCAAGGGAAAACAAACATCCAGAAGAGTATCGACCAGAGAGATGAGAAAAAAGAGAGTGACTCAAGTTCCTGTATGTATCAAATGCAATGCAATTGAACTTGATTTTTTTTTTTCATATTCATGCTTGATTTGTTTTAATTCCAACCATGGTTGATTAAGAGTAAGTTTCACTTTTGATCAATTCTCATCCATTTTTATGTGCATATAGTGTCCGAAATTGAGAGTGGAAAGGGAAGCGGTGATTGCCTCCCAGCATTAAATTATCAAAATTCCAATTGTGTCACGCTCGGTTCAAGGATTGTTCGTGTTAATGACACAACTGGCAAAATATCAGATGGCACAGGAGATGGATGCCGCATAGGTAAGCTGATGTGGCTGACAGTTCTTTCTAAGCATGGCTAAAAATTTATGGATATTTGATTTACTTTACATTCCCCTTGCACATGGTTATTCACAAGTGGCCAGATTTTCCTGAAAACGCATGGTAAATTGAATAGAAAAGTAAGGCTTCCAGCCTTTTCATTTAAAAATAACTGCAGCAAAACCCTGTGAGCATATTAAGGGGATCCTGTGAGTCTGCCGGTGTTTTAGTAAGTTAATGTAATATCCTTGGATTTTGTCCATGCGGGTTTTTTTTCTTTCTTTCCAGATACCTCTGCGGGATTGCTCTTCTCTTGTTTTGACAATATCAATAAAACAGGAGCCACTAAAGCTGAAAAGCTGAGAAACAAGCATTTAAATGCAGCTGAAACCGAACACAAATGGATGGTTTGGCGAAACAGGAAATTGAGTGGAGATGCTTTAATGGAGCTTATGAAGAATCAGATTAATCAGGAAGCCAGACCGGAAGAAATTGTGGAAAAACTGGGCGTGGATGCAAAAATCCTTTCTAAGATGTTTGAGAAAAGAATGAGGCCAAAGACTCTCAATCTCCAACCAGCTTCTTCGGGAGCCGGTCGGAAGATCAATCTGGAAAAAGAATCTAGTGATGAAGACACAGCCTACGAGAACGGCCGTGTGCTTAAGATAGAGTCTCCGGTTATATTTGATTTGGAAGACCTGGATAATGAACCCGTCCCGGTGAAACCTGCGAAGCTGATGCATAAAAAGCCCAAGAAGGTTCAGCGGGCTATAAGTTTTCCGCTGAAGCCCATCGAGAAGGTTAACATTGAAACTGGCTTTGATCCACTCTCCTTGTTGGCAGCTGAGAAGGGGCAAGGGAAGGAAGAGGAGGAGGAGGAGGGGGAGAAGAGGGTCTCCACCCCATCAGCCAGGCGCGATTTAGCGGAAGAAATCGAGATGTACATGAATAATATGAGTAGTCCTTTAACAAGCCGGACCCCCAGCATCGATTTGCAAAAGGCCTACGGCGACAAGAATCCCAACAGAAAGAGTCCAACCTTAGGCCAGCCATGCCGAAGATCTAGCCTCCCTCCAAACTCACCCAGGTCAATAACGCTCCCCAAATCCAAGAGCTACCAGGTCAAAAATGAAAGAGGGAGGGACCGGCTTTGGTCCTCTCCTGTGTTCTCTCCGAACAATTTGTCAAGGGGGCAGTCTCAAGACATGGCTGATGCAGTAGCACTCGCCTCTCCAACCTCCTTCAACCTGGACACGCTCCTGACCCCAACCTTCGATGTTCTGAAGAGCAGCATGTTTTCTGCAGGAAAAGGGGTGGCGGAGAAGGCCAGCAAGTGGTATTCAAAGTTCGCCACCTACGCGGCAGCATCGAAGGTAAGCCCTTTCAAATGGTTGTCGTGAAAATACACAGTTCAGCAGAGATTCCGATGGGGCTGCTTGTCCTTCACCACCCCTGGACGGCTCAGGGTTGAACCCTTCTTCAGCTTCATCGGAGTTGCCTTTAAAGGCTGTGAAAGTCCTAGGACAGGGGTAGGCCACCTTGGCTCTTTTACGACTTGTGGACTTCAACTCCCAGAATTCCTGAGCCAGCCACGCTGAGGGGAAAGGGAGAGGTTTCCAAGCTGAGCCATGCTGGCTCAGGAATTCTGGGAGTTGAAGTCCACCAGTCATAAAAGAGCCCAGGTTGCCTACCCCTGTCCTAGGTGATGTTTATACTCCTCTGAATTGGCTAGAATCACGAGGGCTACAAGATTAGTACTGGTAGAAGAGAATGTCTGTAACTCAGGGCTGAACCGTGTGGTCCTTGGCGCTCTCTGAGTTGGTTGTTTTCTTGCAGACATTTCATTTCCCAACTAGGTAACATCATCAGTGTTAGAAAGGAGTGGGGCTTGCTCTCTCTTTAAGTGGTTTGCCTTGCCAATATTAGTGGCCGAGTGGTTGTCCCTAACTTCTTGATTAGGGAACTACTTAATTAGGGAACTTTAGTTCTGGTGCCCTTGGTGCTCTCCGAGCTTGGTCGTTTTCTTGCAGAGGTTTCCTTACCCAACTTGGTAACATCATCAGCGTTAGAAGGGAATGGGAGTGACTGACCTGATTTTGTGACCTGTTTTTTTAATGGCAGTCGTTCAGCAGCCATTAAGCACGACGGTTCGTTCAGTGAGGGCCGAGTTTGGCCAAAAACTGGAAGCAACTGCCAGTTTCTGGCCAAGCTGTCCTAAAATGCTGACTGCCTGGCTATGGGAAGCTGTAAACAGCTGTAAATGCGGCCTTCTTACCGGCTGTCCGAAGTTCAGTGCCAGGACCGTGGGAGGGGCCCGACCCTCGGAATTTCAGAACCAGGTAGCGAGTAGCCCAAAGAAGGTCCATTGTGACTTCGACCGGTCGTAAGTCAAGGGCCACCTGTGCTGCTTTGCCACTAAAGGCTTGCCGCCAGATGTGGATCTGTAGCAACTCCCAAAGTCCTCCTGCCTGTTCCTGTTTCAGGATCAAAACTCAGACCGAGCAAGTGTGTCGTCCCTCGGGGCCCTGGACTCGGAATCTGCCTCTCTCACCGACGAAGACGTGTGCAACGATCTGGAAAGCAGCTCTTCTCCTTGGGATGATGCGTCCTCGGCTTTCAAGCGCATCGGCCTGAGCTCCACCAGTCTGGAAAGTGCCGCTTCTCACAACGGCTCCTCAAAGCGTTCCTCGCACTGTGGTAAGAGCTGCCCAGATGTTTTTTTTTCCTGGTCTGCTGTCGTCTCCTCAGCTGACGCAGGCTTGGGAAACGCCGGTCACCGTGTTATCTGGCGGGACGTCCGCTTCTCCTTCCAGAAGGGGACGGTATTAAAATGGCCCAAGGAATTCAACCTTGCCAAATCAAAACCGGGCCAGGGTTCAGATACAATAAGGGTTAAAAAAAGGCTCACATTTTCCTGCAGGAGATCCATGTTTCTCTCCTTCGGAATGGAGCCCTGGGTTAGGATTCCTGCTTTTTTTTTCCATTGGATGACTGGGAGGAAAAAAGTGCAATGGAAAGGTTTAAATTAAGTTCCTTTGGCCAGTGGAGGCGGTCCTCGACTTGCGACCACAATAGAGCTCAACATTTCTGTTGCTAAGCGAGATAGTTGTTGAGTGAATTTTGCCCCATTTTACCACTTTTCTTGCCACTGTTGTTAAGTGAATCTGGTTTCCCCACTGATTTTGCTTGTCAGAAGGTCACAAAGGTGATCGCGTGATCCCGGGACACAGCGACCGTCATAAATATGAACCAGTCAAGCAGTTGAATTTTGGTCACGTTTGAATGTCTTCTGTAATGTTTTATATAACGTGTAAACTGCCCAGAGTTGTTGGGAGTCAGGTGCCAAATACATTTTAATTCTTTCTATTCTTTCTAGGATTATTACCCCTTTCTCTCTGAAGTTAAAGGGAGGGGGCAGCTGGGAGGAGATCGTCTTTCCCAGAACTGACTAGTGTAAATATTTGTTTTGACTATGCCCTTTTGCTTTTTTAGGCTCTTTTTCAAAAGCAGAGGTGGTTCCCTCTTGCAGTCCAAGCAGCACCAGCGTCTTCCAGAATTACGCCCTGGAGGTACAGTTATTTTTTGCTGTCGCTACCATAAACCTGGCGAAACAGATTCCAAAAGAAGGTTTATTTGCCTTCTCCTGTCACATTTATCCTTAAAGTCCTAACATTTCAATCCAAGGAAGTTTGCAATTTAATTAGCTGGAATTTCATAGGAACATTTTTGGACAGGTATGTTTGGACAGGTATGCCCTCCTTTGACCTAACCAAAGGTCTTTGGGTCCGGCCGGTACCTCCCCCCCCTTTGTGGCACCTTCCGTCCGTTGGCGTATCACCCTTCAATAAAACCCTGGAAAGCACCATTGCTGTCTGGAATGACCTGTTTTTGATAGCCCCAGGATATGGGAGCTGCTATGTGGAGAAAAAAAAGAAGGAAGGAAGGAAAGGAAGGAAAAGAAGGAAAAGAGCAAGAGAGGAAGGAAGTAAAAAAGGAAGAAAAGAAGGAAAGAAAAGGAAGGAAAAGAGGATTAAGGAAGGAAGGAAGGAAGGATTAAATTTTGGCTGACCATAATTGCAAACTCAACTTTCCTGCTCTGGCAACATGTATCTTTCTAAAAATGGCATAAAAAGATCCTCATTTTTTGCAGGCAGAGCACCAGGCTGGAAAAAGTACAAGAGTATTTTTGTCTGAAAGAGACATCCTTTTTTTATAGCATCTAAATCATCATATAAATGTAATTATAGCATCTAAATATCATATAAATGTAATTAAATTACTAAATGTAATTTATAGCATCTAAATATCATATAAATGTAATTAAATAAATAAATAAATAAATCTTGTTATTGTATGCCAAAAAAAAAAAAAGTACTCTCCCGTGGCTTTAACTCAGTGCCTCCCCCAGGTCCTGATCTCCAGCTGTTCCCGATGTCGGACCTGCGACTGCCTGGTCCATGACGAAGAGATCATGGCAGGCTGGACCGCGGACGACTCCAACCTGAACACCACCTGCCCCTTCTGTGGAAACCTCTTCTTGCCTTTCCTGAATATTGAAATCCGAGATCTCCGGGGACCCGGAAGGTACTCGTTTACTGCTCCTTTGGAAAGGGAATTTTTATTTCACAGTGTTTTTCCACATGCAACAATTTCATAATCACGTGAGCATAATCTTTGTAGGTACTTCTTGAAGCCCAGTCCTTCTTCGGAAAACATCCAGCTTCCGTTCCCTTTTATGAACCAGGCCGACAAAACGTGCGTTGCTGATCCCCTTTCAGGATTTACTGCAACTTTAATTCCAGCTCAAAATGACTTGGTTTCAGATGGGTACGTTTATTTCATGATTTTTAAAGCATTCATAACTGCATTTATAACTTTCTTTTTGTCAAAATGAACTATCCTCTAAACCCCAACACCCCAAACCTGGTGAGGTTAATTGGATGGAGAGAAGGGACTTGCAAATTCATGGAAAAAGCCATTTGACCAAGTTCACACAGTATGAACAGTAAATCAGTGGAACGGCTTGCCTTCAGAAGTTGTGGGTGCTCCAATACTGGAGGTTTTCAAGAAGAGATTGGACAACCATTTGTCCAGAATGCTGTATGGTCTCCTGCTTGAGCAAGGGGGGTTGGACTAGAAGACCTCCTAGGCCCCTTCCAACTCTGTTATCCTTTAAATGGCTTAGATACTAGAGCAGGGCTCTTCCAACTTGGCCCTTTTGTGACTTGTGGACTTCAACTCCCAGAATCCCTCAGCCAGCGTGCCTGGCTGAGGAATTCTGGGAGTTGAAGTCCACAAGTCATAAAAGGGCCAAGTTGGAAGACCCCTGTACTAGAGGAAGACAGATGGCTTGTGTTCCAGGCTAGTTATCAGCCTTCAGTATCTTTCTTCCTGCCTGGAATCTTCTCAGCAGTTGATGTAGTTCTCCAGTCAACATGTAACCTCTTTCAGCAGCTGCAAGACAAAACATTTGGACACCCTCTGTGCCAAGAGCATTCAGATCCCTTCTCAGCGAAGGCATCCTTCATCCAAAGACGAACCGCTTGGCCACCCCCTGTCAAGAAGCGTCAGTGCCTACAGTTCTTTAGAGATAGATGAAGTGGGAGTCCATACACACAACCACGTGGTGCCCACAGGGAGCCTGCCTACAACTTTCCAGCAGAGAATGGTAAGGGTCCGAGTGTTGTGTTCCTCACCTGGATTTTCAGAAGAAACATAGCCTGGATCAAGCCTTGCTGTGATATTTGTGTGCTTGTTCGTCTGTATCCTACCTTTATTATTTTTACAAACAATTCAAAGGGACGAACATCTCCAGCACACCTTCCTCTTCCTCCTATTTCCCCCCCGCCCAATAACAACCCTGTGAGGCAGGTTGGGCCGAGAGAGGCCAAATGGCCCCAAATCACCCAGTTGGTTTTCATGTCTAAGGCAGGACTAGAATTCACAGTCTCTTGGTGCTTTTGCCCAAAGTCATCCAGTTGGTTTTTATGCCTAAGGCTGAACCAAAACCAGCAGTCTCCTGCTTTCTAGCTGGGTGCCTTAACCACTTTAAGGTTTAATTATAGAATCATTTTACTGAATATGATCAGAGGAATTGCGGTAGGAATTAAATCATTCCTGTTCTTGGACTAGTGGTAGTTTTATTGTTGATTGTTTTACAGATAGCCCTCAATTTACCATCATTCATTTAGCAATCATTTCAAGTTATGACCACACTGTTAAAAGTGTTTAGGACAGGGGTAGGCAACCTTGGCTTTTTTACGACTCGTGGACTTCAACTCCCAGAACTCCTGAGCCAGCATGGCTCAGCTTGGAAAGCTCTTCCTTTCCCCTCAGCGTGGCTAGCTCAGGAATTCTGGGAGTTGAAGTCCACAAGTCATAAAAGAGCCAAGGTTGCCTACCTCTGGTTCAGGATCATTGCAGGATCCCCGTGGGCATGTGATCAAACTTTGGGCAGGTGATCGCCGTTGGCCACCTTCCCAACCAGTTCTCAACAAGCAAAATCAGTGGGGGAAGCTGGATTCGTTCGACAATCACATGCTTCAGTTAACAACCACAGTGATTTTCTTAACAACCCTAGCAAAAAGATCATAAAATTGGACATGACTCACTAAACATCCACCATGCTTAGCAACAGAAATTCTGGTCATAAGTTGAGGACTTAACCTATACTAGCAATTGCCTTTTACATTGTTTTTGAGCAGTGCTCTGGACTCCTTTAAGGAAAGGAATAATAGAAACCATTAAAATGCAATTTAATAAGATACAATATGCCATAAGACAAAAAATCTTCTCTGTGGTTAAAAATAGTCAAAGCAGAAGTTTTAAAGCCCAGCAAATCACAGGAAAATCAAAAGGTATACTAATAATACCTGGAGATTCAGGAGGAGGGTGCCCCAACCAAGGACCCTTTTCTCATGATTATTCCACAGGGGTTTCTCACTCATCTTTCTCCTTATGCCCTGTCTGGCATCGCAGGAGTCTTTGCAGCTGGAGTGGCATCTACCTAGCCCGGAGCCCATCACTGTTCCTTATCTAAGTCCTCTCGTTGTCTGGAAAGAACTTGAGAGCTTGTTGGAAAATGAAGGAGATCACGTGATCACCGTGGCAGAGTTTGTGGACCATCATCCCATCGTCTTCTGGAACCTGGTGTGGTACTTCCGACGGTTGGACTTACCCAGTAGCTTGCCTGGATTAATTCTGTCCTCTGAACACTGCAATAAAAATTCCAAGGTATGGAAAACAAAGTGTTACGCTAACTGCAAGCATTGGTTTTGTTTGAGGATGTGTGGTTGTTATTAATTTAAAGAGCTGTAGGAGAAAGGGTGGCAGAACCTGGGGGGTGGAGTGAAACAGGGAATCAGCCTGGAATCCCTGCGTAGTCACAAGAGAGCCAACTCCGATCCACCATCTCCAATTCCCCTTGAGTATCGTTGACCATTATCTAGCTAACCTGGTGCTACCCCTTAATTCAGAAGATTCCCGTGCATGGACTTTTAGCAACAAATCAGTTTAATTGAAATCTTTGTGTGTGGACCTAGTCTTTCACACCTGACAAGAACATTTTAGCTAAACTGGCTGCTTTGTCTTGTGGGCGTACGTTTTTATGCTCCTATAGAATGTGTAGCCTGCTTTACAATCATGTTAAAGTCCTCAACAACCACAACTGAGCCCAAGATTTCTACGGCTAAGTGAGACAGTTGTTCAGTGAATTTTGCTCCATTTTCCGACCTTTCTTGCCACAGTTGTTAAGAGAATCACTGCGGTTGTGACGTTAGCAACACGGATGCAGCTTCCCCATTGACTGCTGGTTAGCAGGTCACAAAAGATGAACACTGCGACCGTTATTAATATTAAGTGAGCTGCCAAGCAATTGAATTTTGATCACGTGACCATGGGGATGCTGCCACGGTCGTAAGTGTGAAAAACAGTCACAAGCCATTTTTTTTTAGTGCCGTTGAAACTTCGAACAGTCACCAAATGGACTGTTGTAAGTTGAGGATTACCTGTACTGAAGCATTCATTTTTGCTATATTCTGGAATTTCTAGTGCCTCTTCTCATCCTGAGCTAACTCCATTTCTCTTTGCATTTCCTGCTCCTTATGACCTTGCTTCTGGGTAACGCTGCCTTATTCCCTTTTATAATTGTATCTGAGATATTTTGTGTCCTCCCTCTACAGATACCCAGAAACTGCATCTTGGAGAACAGCAAGCATGTTCTGATTCAGATGTTGTGGGACAATATGAAACTGCACAAAGATCCAGGACAGCCCCTCTATATTCTATGGAATGCCCAGAGTAAGTTATCAGTATTCTTTATTATTTTATGGAAAAAGATTTCCCACCAGGCCAAAAGCCCGGAACTGATAGGCATTAGGAGTTTGATCACGCCATTCTTGTCTTACAGGTCAAAACCGTACCCTTGTGTTTGAGAGTGAGTGTTGTGTTACGTCTTGCTATTGCTGAGAAATTATTTATTTCTTGACTTACTTTGAACACACACCCCCTCCTTTCCTAGTGTGTATGTGCATATTTTATGTCGTTGCTTTTCGGCATCCTGTCTAGGCATACATTTATTTTTCCCAGCCATTTTGTGTACTTTGTCAATCCTTGTCCTAGTTTCACTTTCTTTGAGAAATACTAAGAATCCTTGTAATGATTTGGAGATGACTCCCTGCCTGTTTTGACCTGGCCTTCAGTATTCCCTGGCTTACAGCTCATAGATGCCATTGAGCAGACTTTCTTTCTTACGGCTGGCCGTTCCCTGTCGCACTTCATTCGTGGACCCCCAGCTTCACAAAATTGTCTTTATGCGATATTCTTTTATTTTTAAAACCAGCTGACAGCCTTGGTTTTTTTTGTTGTTCACTGTACTTTCTAAATGTCTTTCTCCAGCTCAGAAATACCCAGTGGTTCGTTTACTGCAAAAGGATGACAGTTTCTTTAACCAGGAGCTCTTAAGAAACATGGTCAAGAGTATTAAGATGAACGATGTCTATGGACCAATGAGCCAGATCCTAGAGAGGCTGAACAAAGGACCACAGATCAAAAGGCAGAGGTAAGGCCAAAGTCTGAAAATCTGCTTTTTTTTCCCAGGGAAGAAAAAAACTCAGAAGATTCAGTTGGTCACTCGCTCAGAAGGTATTTGTTCCTTCCTCAAATTACCTGCAGCCCAGTATCTAAATGCTAATACACAATCTGGCACAGCGGATTTGAAACCGTGATTAAAAAGTAAAGCTTTCCCATGTTAATTTTTGTCTATTTTGTTTCAGGAGTCTTTATAGAGAGATACTATTTCTCTCTCTCGTTGCTCTTGGAAGAGATAATATCGATATAGGTAAGCTATCAGTGATGTTCTCCTTAGTGTGTGTTAAATGTTTAAACTGTGCAAACTATAACTTCTGGCCTTAGAAAGCATAATTGTATTTGAAAAGTGTAAAGTCCTCTTAAAAAGGGTAGGCAACCTTGGCTCTTTTGTGACTCGTGGACTTCAACTCCCAGAATTCGTCAGCCAGCATGGCTCAGCTTGGAATCTATCTATCTATGTATCTATGTATCTATGTATGTATGTATCTATCTATCTATCTATCTATCTATCTATCTATCTATCTATCTATCTATCTATCTATCTATCTATCTATGTATCTATCTATCTATCTATCTATCTATCTATCTATCTATCTATCATCTATCTATCTATCTATCTATCTATCTAATTTTATCTATCTAATATCTATCTAATTCTATCTAATTCTATCTATCTATCTATCTATCTAATTCTATCTATCTATCTAATTCTATCTATCTATCTATCTATCTATCTATCTATCTATCTATCTATCTATCTATCTATCTATCTATCTATCTATCTATCTATCTATCTATCTATCTATCTATCTATCTATCTATCTATCTATCTATCTATCTAATCTATTTATTGATGGACCGACCGACTTACCTGTCTGTGTATCTGCCTGCCTGCCTCCATAAGCCCAGCACTATAGGCATTTTCTTCCTCTCCCTCCAGATGCTTTCGACAGAGAATACAAGATGGCTTACGATCGTCTCACCACAAATCAGGTCAAGAACACTCACAACTGTGATCGGCCGCCTAGTACCGGAGTGATGGAGTGTCGAAAGACGTTTGGGGAACCGTATCTCTAAACAGAACCGGGGCGCGTCACGAGGTGCTTCTTAGGCGAACAACAACAGCAGCCGCCACAGCCGTCAGAAAGACTCCTCTTCCACTGAGAACCCCCCCTCCCCTGGGCCTTTGTCCAAAGGAGAATTCCTGTAGGGAACACAGTCCTGGGATTACGAGAGACCCCCCCCCCGGGCTCCAGCTGGTGTAGAATCCGGGGCGCTTTGCGGCAGAAAAGGGCGGATCAGGGTGGAGCAGAAACATGCGGGGAAGGGAGCATGCATCAAGGAAGCTTTTGAAATAAACTGTTTGCAGGGAAGGTGCGAAAGGTTACAGAAGGCAGGCCAGAGTTATATTACAACAGATTCTAAATTATTTATAGCGAGGTCATATTTTTTTAACTTTTTTAATTCCTAGAGCGAACTGAGGGGACTTGGTTGTCTAAGCAATACTTTTCGGAATATTGCTGTGTATAGGAACAGGTCTTTTTTTTTTTCCACCCCCTTTTCTTTTCTAAAGAAACACTTCTTTCGTTTTGCTTTTTTTTTTATGTAATGCAGAACTTTCAGTCCTATATTTCCTATTCTGCAAAATCTACATTTACCTAGCTAATTTGAGCTGACAAGTATTGCTGACTGAGTGATAGGAAGCTTTCTTAATTTAATCGGGTTTGTCACTGTTTGGACACTGAAGCCGAGGTCGCTTTCCTTCTCTCCCACGGAACGGAGCTTCCCCGATATTTTTATATGAAAGACCTGATTGAATATTGGGAGCCACCGCTGATCGCTGCAGAGAACCGTCTCAAGAGGGCTGGAGCAGAACGCCCGCCTCTCTGTACAGGTAGTCTTTGACTTACAACCACAGTTGGGACCAGAATTGCCGTCCCTGAGCAAAGCAATTGTTAAGCGAGTCGCGTCTGATTTTACAACCTTTTTGCCGTGGTTGTTAAGCAAATCAGGGCCAGGGTTAAGACAATTGTTAAATTCATCCAGCTTTCCCCACTGACTTTGCTTGTCGGCAGCCAGCTGGGAAGGTCACAAATGGTGATCAAACATCCTTGCAACCATCGTAAAAACAAGCCGGTTGCTAAGCATCCAAATTTTGACCACATGACTGGGGGTGCTGTGATGGTTGTAAGTGCAAGGATCGGGCCGTAATTTTTAGACTGTCCTCTCTAGGAATTGTATGATTAAGCTGGATGTTCTAAATCAGTGAATAGACAATTTCTAAAGTCACTTAACTGCTAATGATTTAGCAATGTTTGAGATACGTGTCTGTTAATTTCCGTGTACAGTTCCTAAGTTATTGCATCTCCAGAGAAAACAAATGTAAGTGCCTGCAGTAATACATTTGTGTGCTACAGGTCATCCTTGTTTAGTGACCACAGTTGGGACTGGCCATTCGGTCATTAAGTGAAGCAGAAAAAGAAAAATCACCATGTGCTTATGATCTGACTTCAGCTTTCCTTTGCTTTACCAATCTGTGAAGGTCATAAATACGAGAATTGCTCATACAGCCAGTGTTGTAACTGTGAACGGTCGCTAAATAAGGCAGTCTCTAAACAAGGACTTCCTTAGAAGGTACCAGCTTCCGAACTGTATGAAAGCCACTATTTCAGAGTATTTTATAGCCATGATGGAAGGAAGGATTGGTTCTTCCTGAGCTGTAACTAAGGAATCAAGAGAACCACTAGCCAGAATCAAAGCTTGGGCTGGGAAGCATCGTTCATTTAGTTTTAGCTGACGTGATTCCTGATCAGGAATATTTGCTTGGGGCTTTGTTTCACCCAAGAGAACAACTGTATGTTGACGGGAAAAAATGTCCAGGTAGTTCTCAACTTACGACCACAATTGAGCCCAGAATTTATGTTGCTGTTAAGTAAGAAATTTGTTAAGTGAGTTTTGCCTCATTTTCTTGCCACCTTTGTTAAGTGAATCACTGCAGTTGTTAAATTAGTAACACGGTTGTTAAGTGAATCTGGCTTCCCCATGGACCTTACTTGTCAGAAGGGATCCCAGGGTCCAAGGGCACTGCAGTCGCCCTAAATATGAGCCATTGGCCAAGCGTCTGAATTTTGATCACGTGACCACGGGGATGTTGCAGCGATTGTAAGTGTGAAAAACGGTCATAAGTCTCTCTTTTCAGTGAACTTCGGTCACTAAATGAACTGTTGTAAGTCGAGGACTACCTGCAGTCTCATTCTAATGAAAGCACTTCCTATCAGCTCCTCTCTAGGTGTGGTTGAATCAAAGATCGCGGCAAAAGTACCATTAAAAGCGCTATTAAAAAGAGAGCCTATCGTTCAGTTTAAGTAGGAATTACCCAGTTTTCACAGACAGCCAGGATGGACAGTCTTCATGGACAGCCAGAGCATCTAACGGAGAGGGGTTAAATCATATAAAATCAGAAACACCACTACAGGCTAAAACCACAAGACTAGGTCTGATTTTCTTTGGCTGTGCCAGGGGTGCCAATTCATTGGAGAAGCCAACAGTGCCAGGAATGGTTGGTAGAACAAGAAGACGGAACAAGCAAAGAAGCTGCTGACTTGATGCCAGCAAATCAGACACCAAGTTGAACACCCAACAACTGAAAGAAGCTGTGCTTGACAGAGAAGTTGCCTATAAAGTCACCAAGAATCAGACACGACTAAATGGTTTAAAAAACAGAGTCTTCAACATCTCACTAACCATTTAATGATCTGCTAATATCCATTGCAGGGGTAGTCAACCTTGGCTCTTTTATGACTCGTCGACTTCAATTCCCAGAATTCCTGAGTCAGCTTAGCTCAGGAATTCTGGGAGTTGAAGTCCACGAGTCATAAAAGAGCCAAGGTTGACTACCCCTGATCCATTGCATCAAGTTCAGGAAGTGGAACCTTACCTTGACCTTCTCTGTTCGGTCAAGCAATACAGGTAATCCTAGACTTACAACCACAATTGAGCCCAGAATTTATCTTGTTCAGTTCCTAGTTTAGTTTATACTCATCTTGGAGAACAAAGAATATTCTGGGGCCTTTGCTGCCCCAACGATGAAATTCTGCCTCACGTTATGCTCCTTTAAAAAGCAACCCGGGACTTTTTGTTACTACTATTATTTTTAAAACAGTGAATGAAAATGAAATACGGCTTTCCCTTCTCTGAGCATCCTGTTTTATCCTAATGTTTTGGCACAGTTTTGTACTTCCACTCATCATGAAACCAGTCTCCCCTCTGTTTGCTTCAGGGTATCAGACGGAACAAAATGTTTGTAAAACTCTAATGTTTAAATAGGGCTTTATCAAGAATCTGATAAAGTATTTTATCTTAGTTAACTTAGCAATTCAGTAGGAAATATTTTACTCCCAAAGGCAGAAATGGAGACTTGTTACATGTAAATGTGTATATAAAATATTAAAAAAAAATTTTGGTGGGTTTTCCAGAAAGTAGTTGTATTTCTCAAAAATATGATCTCACTGGAATTTCAAAACGGACGTTTTATTAATTTGCAAAAGAGCACTTTCACAAAGGAATGGTTGTAGATTTGTACATATGAACTGTTTACATTTTGTTTACCAAAAAAAAAGGACATCAGTTGGAAGTGTTTATTTTTGGTTTCAATTTGTAGGTCAATTTCGAGGTGTATATTTCAATCTTCACAATGGGAAAACATATTTTTTTTCCTGAAATATCATTAAAAAAAAAGACTATTTAAAGTTTTACAAAGACTCAATAAAGAAAAGTTTAAAAAAAGATGCTTGTAGATATTTTTTTGTTATCGAATGGGAGTAGCTGTAATTTCTTTCCACTTATTTTCAGGCTTCGTAAGGCTTCAGTATCGAGAACAGATAGTAACAGGAAAAAAAGACCCGCGGGCTGCAATTTTTATTTTTTTTCCTATTTACTGATTTATCCCTCTAGTCTAGCACAAACTATGATGTCAGCCCTGCAAGATAGACCAGATCAAGACTGACTTCAGTTATTATATAGACACTCATTACACTGTATATAATAACACAGTGACGGCAAACCTTTTAGGGACCGAATTCTAATTGTAATAATTAATTCTAATTCTAATAAACTCTGTTCCCCAATGGGAGGGGCTCATTTCAGCTCCTTGCAGAGGCAGGTTCACCCTGGGCAGCTGGAATGGGGAATTCTGGGAGTTGAAGTCCACCCGTTAAGGCGGCCAGATTTGAAAAGCACCGATTTTAAATGAAAGGGGGAAAAAATCACCACCAGCGGCGGCAGAAGCAGGTCAAGAGGAAACTCCCCGGGGGAAGAAGCAGCTAAACATTAAGAAGAGAAATAAATGGGGGGGGGGGGGGGGGGGGGGGGGGGGGGGGGGGCAAAAGGAGACTGCCAGGCAGGTTCCACCGAGATTTGAACTCGGATCGCTGGATTCAGAGTCCAGAGTGCTAACCATTACACCATGGAACCGCAGCGCCGCTGGGGCCGTCAGGAGCCCGCAGAAAAGCCGCCTCGACGGAGGCTTCCTCCTTTCCTGCCCGGCGAAAGGGCGTCCTTGTTTGGAGTTGGGGGGGGGAGGACTTTAAGGGCTGCCCCGCCCTGTTGGGAGGAAGCCGGCTTGTGCACGACCCACTCGGCATGCACGCCACCGAGCATGCACAGAGGGCAGCTGGGGGAGGGGGTTCTTTGCATTCCGCGCGTGCAAAGCGGGGGGGTGGGGAACCGAGGGGGAATTGCAGCCAAACTCGAATTTTTGCAAAGGAAAAATACAAGCCGGGAGCGGAGAAGGCGGCACTCTGTGCATGCTCAGGGGCACAGCCCTTTGCAACCGCCGCCTCTCTCTTCCCCCCTCCTTTTTTTTTCTTTTGCAATTCCCCGGTTCCTGGCTGCAATTGAGCCGGGCGGCCGGTAGGGGCAGCAAAGTGCAGCTCTGCCTCTCGTGGGCGTCGCCCAGTGGCCGCCGTGCTCGTGGCGACCGAGACGCGGGAGGTTCCTCGCTTCCCCCCCCCCTCTTTCGTGATCAAAATCAGAGAGTCGGCCAGGCAGAGACACTTCCGGCAGCCTATTTAGGCCGCCCTGTTCGCTTGGGCCGGAAACTTCTGGAGGAGACGCCCTAGCCCTTGCGTCTCTGTGGCGCCTCCCTTTCCTCCGTCGGGACCGGAAAAGCCCCTACCGCGCGGGTCTCATCCCGGAAGCGTTTGTAGCCCTCGGCGCGGCTGACCCCGGAAGGTGTCCCGGGTGGGCGGAGAGCAGCGAGCGAGGCCGGTCAGGGGGCGGAACCGGAGCGTCACTGGTCCGAAGGCGGAGGGAGCGGCCGCTGCAGGGAGGGAGCGGCCCTTGGCTCTGCCTGCGCTTCCTTCTTCTCTCAGAGGCCGCCATTGCCGCCATGGGGGGCTCCCGCGACGACGAGTACGACTATCTCTTCAAAGGTAGGCCGCCCAGGCAGGCCTCGCCCCGCTCCCGCCGGGGGGGTGGTGGAGAAGACCCCCGCACCGCCCCCTCGCCCTGCCCGCAGCGGGCGGAGAGGCTTCCCGGCGGGGCGGTCGCTCCTCTCTGGCCTGCCTGGCGGGCAGGACGAGGGTCTCGGGGAGCCCCCCCCCCGGCTCCGCCCTCCGGGAAGGGGTCCGTCTTTCCCCTCACGAGGCGTCCGAAGCTGCCCCTGGTGACCTTGGCCCAGCCCTGACCTTCCCGCCCGTCCTGCCTCGCAGGGCTGTTGTGCGCGGGGGGGGGCGGCAGAAATCTGGGCTGTGGCGTCGCCCTTCCCGCGGAATGTGTGCGGTGTGTGTGTGTATGTGTGTGTGTGTGTGTGAGATGAGAAATGAAATGAGCCCCAGTTCCAGAGGGGAAGGTCTCCTTTAGGGACCCCTTTAATCTCTGACGGGGACACCCAGGGCAGCCCCCCTTCTTTTTTGGGGGGGGGAAAGAAAAGGACCTCAGCATCTAATAAATCTTGGCAGCCTGGTCAAGCTGGGAAAAGTCTTATTCATTCGCCTTATCTTCCCTTTCTGGAGACAGCAGACAGGCAGGTGGGGGGGGAGGGCTGGGCTGCAGAGATCAGGGGGGCTCCACCTGTGTAGGTTTTGGGGCGAGGGGCTGGGTTGGGTGGCCCCTAGAATGGAGGGGTGCCCACCTCGCACCCCGGGCACAATAATCCATTTCAAAATCTTCATTTCCGGTCTTTTTTTTTTAAAAAAAAAAAACCCAACACTTTGGCTTGTAGAAAACTCAGACTGAGATACTTGGAAGTGACCCTTGAACTCAAGACCGGCTTTTCTGTGGTGCAAAAAAAAAAAATTGCTCTTAATAAAAGAGCAAAGAAGAAAGGTTGCATTTCTGAAGTATTTATTATCCAGTATGGGGTGTAAAATGGTTAGGAGCAGAAGTGTTTCTTTAGCATCCTACCCCATTCCTTTCTGCCAATGAGCAGACCGTCTGCTACTCAGAGACAATTCACTTAATTCGAGCCAAACGTACTTTAATAAGAGCAAGAACGTTTGATTCAGGTGGAGAAAAAAGATGGGAGTAAACCAGTCTAATTAATAGATTCTACCCCCGCTTTTTCCCCCAGTCTCATTTCCTTCCCCCACCCTCCTACAGTTAGGTTCTCAATTCTGAATATGCCAGCTTATTTATTACCTTTTCTCCAGAATTGTCTTTCCTTGCTAGGCATAATAGTTGAATGTTTAAATAAGGGCCAGGTATTAGCTCAGGGATGGGCAGGGTGGCACAAAGCATTGGCAGCAAAGGAGGTTATCAAGTGTAACAGGAATGTCTTGTTACTATAGAATCATTTAATTTTTTCCCCTTTTTATCTATATTGTTTTTTAGTGCTCCCAAGGGTGTTTTGTTATTATTGCCCCAGTACTTACTTTGTTTCTTAGAGTTTTGTTGTACAGCAAAAATCAAATTCTTGGTAAGCATTCTCTTGGTTGCCAACTTTTCCAAGCACTCCTTTGATGTTATGATCTAAACTGTTAACTTTGTATAGTATTTATCCTAATGATTGTTGCAATCATTTGGAAGAGATACTTGCAGGGGTGAGGTTTGACTTTTGTTTCAGATATGCCGGGCCTGGTAGTTCCTGATTTGGTCAATTAAAAGTTTTCTTATCCTGTTTTCTTTTAAAAAAAATTTTTTTTCAAGCAAATCTTTTTTGAAAAGTACATTTATAGTTTGAGAATAAACCATTATTGCCTTGGCTTTGGCTTTGAAAAAATATAATCTTCACTTCTCTTTGGTCCTAAATTGGTTTTCTTTTACATCTTTTTGTTTCCCTAATTTTTTTGGCCCTTTGAAATAGAGGAAGTGGTTGCCAGAGTGGTAAGACTTTTCAATCAGAAGTTTAGTGATTTGATAAATGTGATTTATTTTAAATACACGAACTTTCAGGTTTATTTTGTATCTTTGAGCGGAAAGAGAAGGCTAGCTTTTGAATATGAGATTTGTTTTAATGTATTGTACACTTTTTAAAGTTAATGTGTATTTCTCACATTAAACTGGATTCTCTTTAAAATATATTATCCCCAAGCAGCAGTATACCACCAGACATTATCTCCCTTGTTTTGGGGTAGCTATTTCACGAAAAGATTAGCTTCCCTTTAGTTATGCTCAGCATTGCAGATGCTCCCACTGACCCACAAAGTCCAGGACCTTTTGAATGGCAACTCTGATTGTGAAAGGTTCTGTGGGTTGTCTGGTTCTGATTCTGCAACTGACCTCATTTCCCTTCCTGTTGTTTCTGCCTAAATTCATTGACTGTCCTCCTTTGGGATCAGTATACATTCTTCCTAGGTTGCTTATTCAGCTTTCTGATAGTGAACAGGATATTTATTTATTTATTTATATTTAAACTTCTATGCCGCCCTTCTCCCCAGAGGGACTCAGGGCGGCTCACAGCATGTTAAAAAACAACACAAAAAAATACCATATTTGTCTGCTTAGATAATGGGCGTTGCATTAGGAAAAGGAAGTATTGCATGGAGCTTTGCAGTCAGCTTTTAGAAGTAAAGGTGATTAAAGTGGGAACATCCTGGTTTATTTCCTAGGCTTTGGAACCCGGTTTCCTTTTGATCAGGCCTTCCTAGCTGGAGAATCTATGCAGTAAACTGAAGTTCCTTTTCAATGCCAGGCCAGATGTAGAACATCTGCCCAATGATGCCAATTATAGTTAACATCAAGGAAGAATAATTAGCCTTGTCATATTATTCTCATACTGACTCACATAATAGAAATGCCTCTAAGTGCTTTCCTATATTATTTGTTACATCATTTTGGCCTGCATGACATAAATATACTGTAATTTGAATTTCAAACAACTCTATGGTAATACTGGTATTTGTTCATTCCATTTATATCCATGACTTTGAGTGTTATTTATCCCACCTTGATTGATTGATTTATTTGTAGAAATAAGACAGCAAACACCCACAATATACTTTCCTCCTCCTATTTTCCCCACAATGACAACCATGTGAGCTGGATTGGGCTGAGAACTGGCCCAAAGTCTCCCAGCTGGCTTTCATGGCTAAGGCAAGACTTGAACTCAGAGTCTCTTGCTTTAAATCAACATTTAAAACATCCACACTTACAATAACATAACAGCATTACCTAATGTAAGAACTACAAACATTAAAATAGAATTTAAACAGCCAAATAGTATAATATCAATCAAATAATAAAATGAGTTTACATAATAAGTTCTAGCAATGAAAGCATTACTCGTGTACCATGTAATGTTGCATTCTGGGAAGGTTTATTTCCATAATGCAAATTGGGATGAGAAATGATGTCATTCGGTTGCCATAATAATGGCAGAATTTTGGTGGAACAAATGTGCTGGAGCTTGTTAGGTTGCTTGTATTGGCTTTTCCTGCTACAAGTGATTCAAGCAGAGATTCTCCATCTTGGCCCAGCCCTGACCTTCCCACCTGTCGTGCCTCGCAGGGCTGTTGTGCGCAGCGGGGGGGGGGAAGAGAAATCTGGGCTGTGGGCTGTGTATGTAGGTCCAAATGACACCATCAGTTACCTTCATCTAGTTCAACAAAAAAGGTAGCCTTGTCACCACCACCACTATTGCCAGATAGCATCAGAGAGGCGATATTGGAATAGAGGCAAGTCAGTTGAGACTTAATTCTGTCTTATTTTTCATTAGGAGTAAATTACACAGTGTAGTTTGGGAGTTACCTTTGATCAGGCTTTTAGTGGCCAGAAGTGCTGCATGTCAACTTCAATTGGGTGGCCAGTTGAATCCTTCAGCATTAATCTTGTTTTGCTGATATTTGCACTGGAAGCAAATCCAAAGCAGACTGTTTTTGCAAAGCATGCTTTATTTTAAAGGCAGCTTGGAGATTTTAAAAACAGTCATCAAGAACTCGGTAGGAACGAGGTAGTTGAATCGTGCTGTGTCTTCCCTATGTTCTTTACACTAACAATTTTAACTCTAACATGTTGTGTTGGTTTAATGTTTTAAAAACCTTCACTAGAGTGCAGTTGATTATTAAAAGTTCTGCTTGAACCAGATCTGTTGGTGAGTAACAGAAGCAGATTTTTTTTCTGTAAGAAACGGGTTGTTTTTATTTAGGATATACAGATCTTATATGTGAAAGTTTAGCACTGAGAAATTAAAAATGTGTTAATGTCCGAGCAGCAGGGAATTAAGAGTTTAACACCAAAAGAGCTATTGAAAACATGCAACATCTGACTTTATAGAGGAGTTGGGGATAGAATAGTGTTGAACAGCCTTCATTGTAGTAATTTGGCAACCAAAATGATGATGGTGATGGTACATTTACATAAAGCATAAAGACACATACAGCTATATCCTTCTAACCTAATAGAGGGAGATTCTAGGGCAGGGGTCTTCAAACTTGGCCCTTTTATGACTTGTGGACTTCAACTCCCAGAATTCCTCAGCCAGCTTAATTAGCTTTGATCTGAATAGACTAGTCGCACTTTAAAGAACATATTACAGCCATGCTATTCTTTTAGGCTAGATTTTCCCTGATTATGTTGGGAATATTTGATTTCCAGATTGTTTTGACTTCTTGTTGCTTCCAATCAGAAGGTTGCAGTCCACACTCCCTGATCACCATCTGCCTGTCCCTTAGTCTAACTGTACAGATCATCCCTGTCCAATGTTGCTAATTTTATTTGGGCAGTAAGTTATTGTGTAAAGAAAATAATGTATCTGGGGCTGAGAAGCCCATTGCTTTAGTTTCCTTTTGAGACATCCTGCTTGATCTGTCTGAGGCCTCTTCTGGAAGCATGGAGCCTTGAGAGAAGGTAGAAGCCAACATCCAGAGTCCCACCAGTTTAGTCTTAAGCCCAAGTCTTCCCCTTTCTGAAGGGCTGGTGCCCCGAGAGAGAAGGGGTAAGATTTTTGGGAGGCGCTTCAGATGATCAGAGGATGAGCCAGACATCCTCAAAGGAGCAGCAGAGAAGGTGACTTCTGGCTGCCTTAATCTCTTCAGAAAAAGGAGAGACCACGATGAGATTGCCCACATGCGCTCCTCAGGAGTGTCCTGCAGGAACCGAGGTTTTTGCAGTCAGCTCGTGAGTAGCTTGGAGTCGAGGGACTCCATCTAATCTTACAGTCACAATGTAGTCTATATGGACAGAAAGCTCAGCCTCGCCTCGCCTATTTTTGAATTGCCTTTGAATTGCTTTTCACTTATTGAGAACCTTTGGATCCATGTGTTTTGCAGCATTCATTGAGTGAGTCCCCTTCAGTCCTTGAAGAAAGAAGTTTTAGGTGCAAGATTAAGGACTTCAAAAACAAGGAAGGGGAATAATCAGCAAAAATACCATTAGAATCTTTATTTTAGGAAGTTATATAAGGGTTAAGGGTCCAGAGGGATTTCAGATAATTTCGAAATTAATTATACCTTCCTGTGCTGTTATTTAGGGGGGGAAAAGCATGATAAGATGGGACTTAGAAGGTTGGACACTAGAGGGAACCAGAAATAAACGGATGTTTATAATTAACAATACGTACATTTGTCTCAGTAACACAAAATGGAGCAAAATAGTTTAATTTTGGAATGAACCAAAGGGTGTTTCTGAACAATAAACTCAGGTTAATCTTAAGATTGTCTACTATCATTGACAAACTGGTTTTAAAAGAGATTATAGAAGAGAAACAAGTTTTACTGGACAAGACTCAGACCGAGGCTGATTTGAATATGGATTTAAAAATGACAGGTTACAAGAAGGGTAAGGAAAAAGATGTTATACTGGATGTACAAATTGATGTCTTAGTAATTATAAGGGGTATACAAATAACAAACCAGAAGAGTGACTTGGATACTTTTCTTATTTTGGATTGGCAAGAGACTTGTTGAAGTTTTGAAGGATTTTCTGAGAAGGGACAAAGAGACCCTTTGAAAAGAAATCAACTTCTGAGAGATTATTTAAATAGACTAGAGATTAACATGGTTAAAACCAAAGGGAAGGAATATAAAGTTGGCTTATTTGATGAAGTGTAAAATATAAATGCTGTTATTTCTGGACTTTTGCTGGCCTGACCTGAATGCATGGGAAGCAGAGATGTTTTATTATTATATTTGCAGAGAAAATGATGAGTTTCTGAAATTATTTGCACGTGCTGTGCTGGAGGGAGAAGTTACTTCTTTATATCTTTTATTTATTTTATATCTTTAGTATTATTTTCTTTTTTTCTGTCTTTTTATTTTCTGCACTTTCAATTTTTTCTTTTCATTCTTTTTCAGGTCTGTTTAGTTTGTATTAGGTTTTGGTTTTTTTTCATCTTTGGAATTATAAACTTTTTTGAAAGTGTAAGCTTTTTCCTTCATTCAATTATGTTCAGTTCTCAGAGAACTTTCTGGACAGGTCCCTGCCGTTTTCTTGGCAAGATTTTTCCAAAAGCATTTAGCCAAATCTTAATTATAAGGATCAAGATTGCCTTTGTGAGCTTGATTTCTTATTTGAGACTGATTGGGGGGGGTGGTCATTCATCTGATTTTACTGATTTTTGCAGAGAATGGAGACGGGGCTGCCTATTTGTATTCTTCTATCAGGAGTAACTGAATGGTCCTGTGTAGATTAAATATCCTAGCCAGTCCTTTTATCTGGCAAGTGTTTGCAGAATTTTCAGCCTGTCCGCAGTGGTTGAGCTGTTTTGATCGGTAAATATGAGTCAGCTGATTACACTATGAGGTAATGGATTTCCTCTCTGGCTTGGCTTGTGTCCTTGTTGAGCTGCTGAGCCCGGCTAATCCGTGTGCCCTGCCGGCTGGAAGGGTGGTGGGAATTTTCAGCAGGACCCTGGTGCTGGGGAGTTCTGTCTGGCTCCCCGGATTTATTGCTTTCAGCAGAAACCACAACAACTAATTAACCTGACATTTGAATTGGGTGCAACTTTGGCTGTGCGTCTGGGAATGTTCATAACCTTTGGTGTTTTTCTTTGAAAACCTCCTTTCCTGCTGGGGCTGTTTGTAATGATGGATAACTTTTTATGTGTGAGAGACTTGCCTTATCAGGAAGAGCTTGTTGTGATCCCTGTCAACTCCATCACTTTTCCCACCCATTCTTCCATTGTGGGAACTGACGTGCCTTTCTGTTCTTTTGCGCCCACAGGATAGAATAGCAAAGTTCCATTTTTCCCCCCTAAGTTCTTTCTCCAATAATCTTCTTCCAGTGGTTCTGATTGGCGACTCCGGAGTTGGGAAGAGCAACCTCCTCTCTCGCTTCACGCGCAATGAATTCAACCTGGAGAGCAAAAGCACCATCGGGGTAGAGTTTGCCACACGGAGCATTCAAGTCGACGGCAAGACCATCAAAGCTCAGATCTGGGACACGGCTGGGCAGGAGCGATATCGGGCCATCACCTCTGCGTAAGTGGTCCCTTCTCTTCCTGCCCAGACGGAGCATCCACACGTGCCTGTCTTATTTATTAGGTCTCCACCCTGTTTTCTATACAGTTTCCTGCATAGGAAAATGGAACGATCCTACACGGCAGAGGGGAGACAATGATGTGCTGGGAACAGTCACACTAGCTATATTAAGGTGGTTTAAATCAGGGGTCCCCAATCCTTTGTCCATGAGCCGGTGCCGGGCTGCAGCCCGTTTCAAACCGGGCCTCAGTAGTGGTGGGTGAGTGTACGCGCGCATGAGGTTACATTTGTGAAAGCTGCACACACATGCGAAACCATCCACTCTCCCTCCACTGCTACGGCCAAGCTGGAAAAGTTGGGGAATACTGGTATAAATGCAAGGTAAATTTAAATGTAGATGAAATCAAATTTTGTTCTTCCTCCTGGTTCTGTTGGCTTTGTCTCTGAAAGACCTTTGCACCCTTAATTTTAAATTAATTTAAAATTAATTAATTTAGTTAGTTAATTTAAAACTAACTCATACAATATAGATTTCCCTTTCCATGTTGTGAAACTCTCTGCTCCTACCTAGATCCTTGTTAAGTGCTCTTTAGAAAAGCTTTAAAACTCTTTTATTTGTAAATAAATTAGTAACAATGTGATACAATTAATGTCCTGAAAGTCCTGACTCCTTGTTGTTAGGTTTGTTAACAAAAGCACATGATGAGAGAATTAGCTTGAGGCTCTCAGATATTAAATTCTGTATTAGTTAATGGCTTCTAATTTGCTGAGGATCAGTTGCATCTCACCTATTAAGTTTGTGCATTACACTAAGATGCAGCGTGGTTTGATTGGTATAAGTCCAGTGTAGTGTAATTTAACAGATCATGGTTAAAATAGATGATGGCTGTTCAGCTTCTCCTGGATTTGAAAAGGCCCTCAGGTTTTTTTTCTCACATGTGGGAGATTGAGCACCCTCTTTGAGGGGGTCCAAGGATTGCTTCACAGGAAGAGACACAGGAGATTATATTTTTTTGTTCAATATATGTCCCACCTTTATTCTGTACAACTAGGCCAGGGGTCTTCAAACGGGTTCTTATTTATGACGGCCGCAGTGTCCCGGGATCAGGTGATCCCCTTTTGCAACCTTTTGATCAGCAAAGTCAGTGGGGAATTCAGAGTCACTTAAGTGACTCTTAACAACCGTGTTACTAACTTAAGAATTGTAGTGATTCATTTAACTACGGCACGAAAAGTCGTAAAATGGGGCAAAACCCACTTAGCAACAAAAAATTGGCACTCAATTATGGTTGAAAGTCGAGGACTACCAGTATAGCATTTGTTTCCATCCTTGAAGGCTACCCAAGATTTGTCAGTGAGCGGGTGGACCGAGAAATGTAAATGGCAAATGAACCCTGTTGTGTGTGCTTTGTGCCTCCAGCTATTACCGTGGTGCTGTGGGGGCCCTACTGGTGTATGACATTGCCAAGCATCTCACCTACGAAAACGTGGAACGGTGGCTGAAGGAGCTGAGGGACCATGCGGACAGCAATATTGTTATTATGTTGGTGGGCAATAAAAGTGACCTGCGCCATCTGCGAGCGGTTCCAACAGACGAGGCCCGGGCCTTTGCAGGTCAGTGATTTTTAACGTTATTTTTTTCCTCCAAAGCTCTGTCTAGTTGTGGGGAGATCATCCCAAATCCCCCTCCAAACACCAATTTTCTCAAGAAAAACCTACTAATCTCCCCATAAATCATTTATAGAACAGTACTTTATTCTCATTTAGGGCATAAATTCCCAGTACCAAAAGTTTCAGAGCCATGCAAATGAATGCCCATCACCAACGAATCTACTGTGCGCGTCAATCAGTACAAGTTCTGGTTTTAGTTGGAAATTAATATACAATTAATTTCAGTTAATATTAATTAATATGCAATTTTCTTCTTTGTTCCTGCTGAAATAAATTCCCTGTATTTTTATAAGTTACACCCATTTTTTAGGAAGAAAAGAAATATAGGCAAATTATATCTTTTTTAAAAAAAAGAAATGATGATGATTTTCCTCTTTTGAGGAGTGTTTGCTCCATTTATTATTTCACGTTAAACATTAGTAATCCATAATCAAGCCGAAACTTTAGAAAAATCAGTCGCCGTAGTGCCTTGCTTGTTATCATCCCCTTTCAACTTTCCTGTGAAGCCTCTTCTAAGCTGCAACTCAATTCACTTTGCGCTTGCGGACTTTAAGATCTGACTGAGGCCTTTTGCTCACTTCATGGTTCAACCTGATGACAAAAAAAGATGCAAACTCTTTTTGTATGCTTGTTTTTTTTGCACGTTATTCTTAGATGTGCTTAAGGCGCCTCCATGCTCTTATTTCTAAATCTCTGCTTCGTTACCGATTTTCCCATCTCTGCTTCTCTCTGAATCCTGTTTAGCTGGAAAAAAAAACATATTTCCTTCTACCGTTTCCTTGTTTATTCTTTTTAGAAGTTGTCTGTAGTCTTTTTCTTTACCAGGCTGGGAGAGGTCAGGGCCGGGTTGTGAAGTCATGCTTGTGTTTAATTTGTGTCACTCATGACCGAAACTGTTTACAGGGTTCAAAAAGAGGAGAACTGCTTGCGCAACTACTCCTCCACTTACCACCACCATGGAGCCTGGAGTTTCCGTACATCACGATGGTCGTAAATCAAGGCACCCCTGTGACCAAATCTGATTTTATGACTTAAGTCAGGGGTAGGCAACCTCGGTTCTTTTATGACTCGTGGACTTCAACTCCCAGAATTCCTGAGCCAGCCATGCTGAGGAAAAAGGGAGAGGTTTCCAAGCTGAGCCATGTTGGCTCAGGGATTCTCGGAGTTGAAGTCCACGAGTCATAAAAGAGCCAAGGTTGCCTACCCCCGGTCTAAGGCATGATGGTCATAAATTGAGGCACCCATGTGATCAGATCTGATTCTATGACTTTTTGTGCAGCAGTTGTTAAGTGAACATGGCAGTCATTAAGCAAACACCATGAAACTTAAGTGAGTCCATGCTGGGTGTTTTTTGCCAGAAATGCAGGAAACTGGTAAAAAAACATCAATCACAGTCTTATGACTGGGCAGTGCTACAACTGGCTGTACAAGTGAGCTGATGGCCAAGTGCCCCAAATGCAATCATGTGACTGCACGGATGCGTCCAGCTGTCACAACTTGGAACTGAATCATACGTAGCTTTTGGGGGAGGAATTGCAACTTCAAATTGTCATTAAATGACCGATCATAAGATGAGGATTCCCTGTCGAAGTAATCGGTGGTCTTGCTCTGTATTTAGCAGGTTTGTGCCTTGATTCATCTCCCTCTTCCCAGCTTACTTTGCTTAAAAACAGAACAGAGTTGGAAGGGACCTTGGAGGTCTTCTAGTCCAACTCTATACCATTGCAGAGAAATGGTTGCCCATTTTTTTCTTAAAAGCTTCCAGTGTTGGAGCACCCACAACTTCCAGAGGCAAGTCGTTCCACAGGTTAATTGTTCTCGCTGTCAGGAAATTCCTGCTTAGTTCTAGATTGCTTCTCTCCTTGATTGGTTTCCATCCATTGTTTCTGATCTTCACTTCTGGTGCTTTGGAAAATAGGCTGACCCCCCCCCCCCTCATCTTTGTGGCAGCTCCTCAAATATTTCAGCACATCCTTCACTCCCCCAATTCTTATCTTCTCCTGACTTTCCTGATAGTCCGTCCAGTATCTGCTGGAGAAATTGCTGGTGCCTGCAACTGCTGTTCTTTGCATATTTGTCAACCAGAATTATATTTTAGTGACCTATCAATCCCATCAATGGGAGTGCACATCAGCTAAACAGTAGCTAGGCTTTTTAAAAAATTAAACAAGGATCTGCACTTTTTCCCCTCCTTCCCCCACACTGGAGGGCAAGAGCAATTAAACTATGGAGCTGTGTGTTGTGACCTCATGCAAATAAATCTGAGTTTCAGACTCCGGTTTATTTCACTCTGGAATGTGACATTGGATCCTTTGCACTAATCATGATTAAAAAGGCTTGATTTATGCCCCTTGCAGTCAAGAGAAGATTTTTGATTGCCGGGAGGAGAGAAGGAGGAAAATGCTGGCAATTGGATTTTGTGTTAAAGAAATGGCATGCCTCCCCCCCCTCAATTCTCCACTCAGCCTCTTGCACCAAAATATTGTTTTCTGGGGATTGCAAAAATTCCTTCCTGTCTGTGCACAGGACACTTTGCTAATCACTCAGGAAGAGAAAACAAGAAGTTGTAAGGAGAGAAAGGTTGCCTTTAAGCCAGCTTGATGTTTACTCATTTCCCCCCCCCTAATTTTAAAAATATTCTTGCTCTTCTGGTGAAAGAAGCTTTTTTTTTTTTAAGTGTGAGCTATGAGGGCTATACAGGAAATCATTGACTTACAGCTATTTCTTCAGTGACCTTTTGAAGTTATAACAGCACTGAAAAAAGTGACTCGTGGCTGTTTTCCACCCTTATGACCATAGTTACATGATCAAAATCCAGATGCTTAGTAACTGGCGTGTATTTATGACGGTTGCAGCGTCCTGGGATCACGTCATCCCCTTTTGCAATCTTCTGACAAGCAAAGTCCATGGGGAAGCCAAATTCACTTAACAGCCATGTTACTAACTTAACAACTGCGATGATTCGCTTAACAGCTGGGCTCAGTTGTCATAAGTTGAGGACTACCTCTTTTGTTTTCAGCAAGACCTCATTCTAAGCCGTGGGCCAGCCAGAAGCCAAAGGGGTTTCGGTTCTGCCTGCTCCCCTCCTCAATTTGCTCCACAACTCCCTTGAAAAAAGAACTGTTCAAAGACAGTATGGTTTCTAGAAGTTTACACGTACTGCATAATTAGTTGAATAAAAAGAAGGAAATTAAAAATAAAAAAAAACCTGCCTATTTTTCCATCTAGTTCAGGGGTGTCAAACTGCCGGCCCGCGGGCCGGATGCATCATAGCGAAACCGCGCCCACCCCATTGCTGACAATGGCAGAAGTCACGATACCTCACAACAGTTCAGGTGACGTTGCAAGTTTGACACCCCTGGCCTAGTTCCTTTTTTTCTTTTTTCTTTTCCTTTTGGTTTCCTTTTCTCTTTCTAGCAGTTATAAATAACAAATAGCAATGCAGCGGGCGCCTTAAGGTTAGGCATTAAGCTCTATGACTGAAACCTTTTTCATAATATAAAATAATGGAATGTATTTTGCAATCGCCTCTCAATACGATACTTAGCTTTAAATTGTACAATTCAAACAGTTTTGCGTTTAATAACTTTTAGCATCGATGTAAGCTTGTTTCTCCTTATCTGTAAAAGTTTGCCTTGTCCGAACCCACCGTGGTGTTACAGTTTCCAGCTTATATTGCCTAAAGCCACAACACCCCACTCTGAAGAAAAAGAAAGAAAAACAGAAGCGGCGAAGTCACCTGGTTCTTTGTTCAACAAAGGGAAACGGTTGTTGTATCTCCTTATGCAAACAAAGCACTATAAAAATATTCTGGCACCCACAGGTTGGTTAAGAAGGGTGTGGAGAAGGACAAAACACAAGAAGGCTGCGCAATAGAAACAAAAAATCACAGGGTTGGGAGGGACCTTGAAAATCTTCTAGAGCAGTGATGGCAAACCTTTTAGAGACTGAGTGCCCAAACTGCAACCCAAAACCCACGTATGCATCTTTGAGTGCCAGGTGGGTGTGGCCCATTGGCTGGGCGTGGCCAGTTGGGTGGGCGTGGCCAGTTGGGTGGGCATGGCTGCAGTGGTAACGGCAGACTGGGTGGGACTAAAAAGTTCAATCAATCAATTCCAACTTTGCAAGGACTTTTTTTTTCCTGCGAGAAGTTGAAATTGACTGATTGAACCTTTTTTTTTTTTTGCACATGGCGGCGGAGGCCTAAAGCAAAAAGGTTTTATAAAACCCAGCTGAAGGCCTAGGACTGGGGCGACGGCGCGCGGGCCCACAGAGAGGGCTCTGAGTGCCGCCTCTGGCACCCGTGCCATAGGTTCGCCACCACTGTTCTAGAGTAACGTCCTGCCCAAGGAGGAGACGTTTTGCCACAATTTTGCCATTATGAATTTTCTTGCCACAATTGTTAAGTGAACCTCTGCAGCTATTAAGTTAGTAACACAGGTCTTAAGTGAATCTGGCTTCCCCCATTGACTTTGCTTGACAGAAGGTCATAGAAGGGGATCACATGACCCCGGGACACTGCGACTGTCCACAATACAAATCAGTTGCCAAGGGTATGAATTTTGATCACGTGACGATCGGGATAGAACAATGGTCATAAGTGTGAAAAACAGTCATAAATCGCTTTTTCAGTGCTGTTGTAATGTTGAATGGTCACTAACTGAACTGTTGTAAGTCGAGGACTACCTGTGCATCTGTGTTAAATATGCTGCCCATCTCATTCTTTCGAGGGTCTCTTGAGTTAGGTTACAGTGGTATAAAAGCACCAATATAAAAACATTAAAAGCATTAAAATTAAGATTAACAACAAAGGTGAAAATCAAGAGTAGGGGGGTGTCTCACACTCCATTTTGTCCTCCACTGGCCGCTTCCCAAAGTCAGGAAGCTCCCAGGCCACAACCCGCTGACCAGTCTGTCCTCTTTCCCACAGAAAAGAACGGCCTGTCGTTTATCGAGACCTCTGCTTTGGACTCGACCAACGTGGAAGCTGCTTTCCAGACCATTCTGACTGGTGAGTGGGGCCTTAGAGGCCATGTAGAATTGTCCTTGTCCCTAAGATTCTTAAAAAGTGTGTGGTTGACTTTGCCTTTGGAATGCCAAGCTGGTTGAAGACACTCCATTCCCCAGTCCTGAATATTCCACCTACACCCATTCCAATTAATGGTTGCTTTATTTTTCTTGTAAGCCCCCAGAATAACTGAGAGTGAGTGGGTGGCCATACAAATTCTCTAAATAAAAAAAAACAATAAATAAGGGAACAGCTGCCTTTGGGAAGAAGATGGGACTGAACTGAGACATGATTCTGAGCAGCAGTAGAAGGAAGGTAGGAAAGAAACTGGGATGCAAGGCTTCCCTGTGGCCCTGGGTGCAGCCCTTTGGGGGACAGGGGGATTGTCATGCCTTGGCCAGGCAGAGAAGGGAGAGCAGGCAAGGTGGCGGTCCAATCTTAGCCTACTTGCCCCATCGCATCACTTTGGGATCACTCCAGATACTGGAAGCTGGAGGGTCAGAAGTATTCTGGATTTTGTTTCTGCTGAACTGTGGCCCATCTGAAACATTTCAGAAGAATACAGGTGGTCCTCAATCTAACGAGCCCAAAATTTCTGTTGCTAAATAAGACATTTGTTAAGTGAACTTTGCCCCATTTTACAGCCTTTCTTGCCATGGTTGTTAAGTGTGTCACTGCAGTTGTGAAGTTAGCTACACGGCTGTAAAATGAATCTGGCTTCCCCATTGACTTTGCTTGTCTGGAGGTCACAAAAGGGGATCACATAAACCCCGGGACGCCGCAATTGTCATAAATATGAGTCAGTTGCCGAGCCTCTGAATTTTGATCACGTGATCATGGGGATGCCGCAACAGTTGTGTCTGTAAAACAACGGCCGTAAGTCGCTTTTTTGAGTGCCGTTGTAACTTTGAACGGTCACTAAATGAACTGTTGTAAGCCGAGGACCACCTGGACCTGGAATGTGCTGTTTGAGATAAACCACATTTTCTGTTTCACACGCACTCCCAGAGCATGGGGTTAGGGAGGCGGTCTTCTGAATTAAGGATGTGGGTTTTCCTTTCTTCTGCTTGAGAAATCTCTGTAGAAGGCTGTGTCCTGTTGGAGCCTCGTCTTGTAAAACCCCCCCCCCTCCCCATTTAAGGCAAACAACAGAAGTGATTGATTTCAGGCATGTACTGCCAAAGTGTACAACCCAAGAAGGCCAGATATCCCAATTAACTGTAGAGGGATTGTAGTAAGTCTCAAAGGTAGCATTTGTATACGTGTTGGAGGGACAGGAAATGCCTCTGGATCTCTGCTTGATAAACAACAGCTTAGGAGATAAGAGTGTGGTCTTCTGGAATTTGGAAGTGGTGCTCGGAGTGGCTTTAAGCTCAGGTGAGAACCAGTCATCCCAGGTCAGCCTTTAATCTCCCTAAGCGGGAAGAACTCTTTGCCAGGGTGTTGGGTCAGTGGGAACCGGTGCTCAGCAATTCCAAGAAATTGACTGGGCCCAGACCAGCTTTTGCAACCGGCCTGAGATGTGTTGGGGTTTTTTTACAGCTCCTAGAATTCCAGGCCTACCAATCGCGTGAGCTGATCTGAGGTCTTTAGGTTGGCCTGTGACTAGCTTAAGAACGCGCTGGATGTGGCTCCAGTGTGCACAGCCCCACGGACTCCTGGGCTATAGGGGGTAGTGAACAAAAACATCCCAACGGAACTGCTTCAAAGGTTCTTGGGTGCGTCTAGCGATGTGCGGGCGAGCATTATCGTGAACCAACACCACACCGGAAGTCAGCAGGCCCCGATGCTTGTTATGGATGGCTCATCTGAGTTTTCGCAACGTTTCACGGCAGACGTCTGAATTGATGGTCGAACCACGCTCCGTGGACTTCACTAGCAGGACTCCTTTGGCATCTTCTCATTTGGCGGGATTTTCTATGGCACCCCTTCCGGTGTGGTGTTGGTTCACGATAATGCTCGCCCGCACCCCGGCCCCTCTTCTCCCTCCCTGGTCACCCGCAGCTTCTCTCTTTCAGAGATTTATCGCATCGTGTCCCAGAAACAGATGTCAGACAGACGCGAGAACGACATGTCTCCAAGCAACAACGTGGTCCCGATCCACGTTCCTCCCACCACGGAAAACAAACCAAAGATGCAGTGCTGTCAAAATATATAACAAAAGTTCAACTCCTGGAAAGCTGTGTATATTTCCCCAGATCTGAATGGAAGCGGAGCTCGAGCTGACATTACTTTTCTCTCTCTTTCTTCTCCACTCTTTCTCTCCCTTTTTGCTTCAGTTACACATTGTCTTTATTTTACTCTCCTCTCTCCATTTCCTCATTTCGTCACCGTTTCTTCTCGTCTTCCACCTCAGTTCTGTGACTCATCTCTTTTTACACGAGGCTGCAGCATTATCGGAATGCGAGTGTCCTGCAAGGCAAACATGGCTAACCATCACAGGGGGTCTTCTGCCTGGCTCACCACCACTCAGACCCTCCTGTCAACCCAACTCATCTTTGATAACTCCCTTGTCCACTCTCTGGCCTCAGTGTTAGATGTCGTCCCTTGGCCTGTCGCATCCTGCAGACTACAGCTCCCATCATCCCTTTCAGCCCCACCACCGGCCAGAGATGATGGGAGGTGTAGGAAAAACGGGCCAGGAGAATGCCAGGTTGAGAAAGCCACGATTGCATTCCATGGGCAGTTGTTGGCCTGGTCTGGGCCTTTGTTTCACATTGTAGATTGTTTGTTGGGCTGCCTTTGTTTCGGACCAGTGCTGTGGTCCTGTTTGGAAGACAAAAGTTGGGGATAACCTCTGGGAACAGCTGGGCCTAATGGATTAGCATCATGAGCAGAGCCTCTTGGCCCTTCCTGGCCACCTGGCCTGTGGCCTCGCTTTTGGAATTGGCTTTGTTAAGGCCGCACACCTGTATGCCTTTCGATGGGTTTTATTCAGTCTGAGCAGATGGAGGACGTTTCCCCTTGCAAGCAAGCAGAGGGATCAATCATCTCCGTGACGCCACTGGGCGGATTAAATTACCGTCTACCCGATGAAGGCCCAACATCTGTTGCTGGATGTTGAGTGCCACGTAGTTACCATCAGAGGGAAGTGCCATCTCGCTCTTCTTGCTAGTCCCTGTGGCTCGTCGTTGCAGTCTTTAGCGTGGACGCGCGATCCAGTGTGGGCCCTGGGGGTCATCTTGCATGGTGCACATGTACAGGTTATGGAGAAGGCTTGGAGATGGGCGTTAGAGCTCCTAAGAGACCCTTTTGACTTTTTAATGAGAATTGTCAGCAAAAGTGGCACTGGTGCATCCCCCGCCCAAGACTGGCGAAGCTGGTTTAGTTTCTCAGGGGGGGGGGCAGTTCCTGGCCTGGAAGCCCTTGAGTTGCATGCTAAAAAGGCCCAGGAGGCCCTCCTCCCCCTGGCTTTCTTAGAGTAGAGGACATTCCTTCACCTCATTCCCCCAGGCACTGTTACGGTTTGCAGCCCGCACTGCCTGCTCGTCTGCAGCACTGTTCAAAAGAGGGGTGGGGTGTGCACATCAGCACATACAGAATTGTGCAGTCTTTGGGAAGCCCAGCTGAAGAGGAAAGAGTCCCTGGTTTATAGGGGGAAGGAAGGAAGGAAGGAAAGGAGAAGGAAGGAAAAGGAGGGAGGGAAGAAGGAAGGAAGGAAGGAAGGTTCTCACAGGTCTGTCCTGCCTGCTGTGTTGAAGGCTGCCCCCCGCTCAGTTCGTCTGCCAGTCTTGCAGTGCTCATGACGTGTAAGGCACACCGAGGGCATTGCTGTAGTCCGATCATCCTTTCATTCTCCCTCTCCAGTGTTATCTCTCTGCACACTTTTTTTTTGTTCTTTCCCTTCCCACCTCTTCTTTTTTTTTTTTGTAAATTGCTTTGTACTGTATGCACATTCTGTACCTTGAGTATTTTTTAAGATTGATTTAAAGTTATTCATTTTTGGAATTCTAATAAAGAATCACAGGGGATTGTTCAGAGGTTATGGAGTGAGCTTCTTTGGAATTAGGCTCTGATGGGCATTTGATATTTAAAGGGGAAGGACGAGTGCCCTTGAGCTGCGGGAAGATGATTGGAATTAACATGTGAATAAATTATGTGGATCAACTTGACACGCAAATCTGACTCATTTACTGTTCCACTTTGCGCACTTTATTGCTTTCTCTTTGCAGAGCTTTAAACTTTGGGTGTTTTGTCATCGTGGGAAAAGAAAGTTGTGACCATGAACAATTCTCCCACTTCTCCAAATAATTAAACTTTTTTTTTCTGGTTGCTTCCGATGGATAAAGCTTTCTGGATGAACAGGAGAACCCCATCAGCCAGTTCCTGTATCTTATATAGCATGCCAAGAGGATTAAAAACATTCAGGGGAGTTGGATGATGGTGTGAGAGAGAGAGAGAGGAGAGAGAGAGAGCCGTGGGTTGCCTACCCATGGTATAGGGTCTCTTGCTTGAACGGGGTTGGCATAGAAGACCTCCAAGGGTCCCTTCCAATTCTGTTATTCTGCTATCACTTTTTTTTGTTTTTGCTTTAAAACAATTAGCACTTTTCACTGGTCATTGTACCCTTAGAAATAACCGTAGGGGGGGAAAAATGCAACAGAGAGAAATTCAGTTTATTTTTTAACAAGGTATAATATTACCTTCGTTTGGTCAACAAATATTACAAATATGTCTTGCTTTTAAAAAAAGTATTGCCATTACAACGTTTGTATTCTCATTTAAAGGGACGGGTCTGCTTTTCAGTGCCTCCTGCTGGATGTAATGTAATCTACGTATTCTCCACCCCTTTATTTTGGACACCGGGGACACTCAGTTTATATAGTGCAGCATAAACATTTCCTGGATCTTCAGCCGTCATCTCCTGCCGGAGAAAAATTCACCTGAAAACTTGCATACTTTTACGAACCGGATAAGCTTAAGAGGTTACCCATTATTTTGCATCCATACCTCCATCAGAACCAGGCTGGTCCCGGTCAGTTGTTGCATCTGTTTGCAGGTATGTCTTCCTTGAAAAGTGCAGCACTCCATATTCATGACTTTATCTAGGTCTGTATGTTAATTTCCAAGTCAACTTAATTGTGAAGATGCCCAGTTGAAATAAAAAAAGCCTTCATGGAGGATTTTCCCCTTGCTAATTCTGAGGTAAGACTTTTATTTATTTCCCCCCCCCCCTATACATGTATTTAAAATATATATCCCTACAGGTCCTACAAAATAAAGTTCTACTTTTTAAATATATTTTTGGATAAGGCTCTCTTGGAAAGTAAAACAGCTATTGCCAATAGATCATTTTCCCCCATGCACACATGCAGCATTCGTGTAAATAATTACTTTTTTTTCTGCTCTGGAAAAAAAGTCATTCTCCTAAAATCTAACCGGGGTGCAATTTTGCTTCATCCACTGACCAGTGCAGAAATCCACCCTCTACTTTGCTTTGGAATTAGGCCTTCATTTCCCACCAATTCCCCCCACCCGCCCCCCAAAAAGTCCTTTGCTTTTACTGAGGGAGTAAACTACTCAGTTCCTCAGCATCCCTTCTGCCATGGTGACAATAAGCGAGATGAGCTTGATGGACACACACAGGAACTGTTGTATAGGCGAAAGGGGATTAATAATTTTTTAAAGTCCAGAGCAAGATAATATTTGAAAACAGCTCAAGCAAACACCTTCCTACTTCTCCTTCAGTGTAAGAAGGAGAAGGTGCAGCACAATCAGACTTGCAAACTTCTGTTATTAAAGCCAACCTCAATAAAATTAGTTTTAGTCTTCCCACAGAGTGGATTTCCCGGTCTGGCCTACCTATTGGAGGTGTAACACCCATGTTAGTTCTGAAGATGATCTGGATTAAACTCCTACCATCGGTCCAAAGCGAGCAATCTGTGGAAGGTGCCTTCTGCTATTAGCTACTCACTTGATTCCCTACCTGTCCTACCAATACAGTTACCCTATCGTTACTAGCAAACCTAACTTGGCTGAAACATCAGGCTTATGCCTTGGAATAAAATTTGTGAGCCGGTAAAGGTGCTACCAGACTCCTGATAGTGTTGCTACCATAAACTAACATGGCTGTCCTACTTCTAATACCTGTTACCAATCAAAGCAGAACTTCAATGCTGGGCTCTGAAGAGATGATTCTCTTGGTTCTCCAGATGGACACGGAGTAGGGAAGACCGGCCCTTCATCTGTGCATTCACTTGATGAGAAAAGTAACCCCATTCTTCCCCTCAAATAGCCTTGCAGCTTCCCTCGCCCTTCTACTAGTAGTGTGAGAGCATCTCTTGTCTGGAAATGTGGCCCCTCTTAACCCCTCTCACCATTTGGTCTTGTTGACAACTGGCAGCTACGCCTCTCGTTGAGTGAACTGGCTTGGCATCATGTTCAATTAAGTTCAAAGCAGCTGTTCCCACAAAAATAGGGAGCCATGTTGGACTACCTGTTTGTGGTAGTGGTCTCTTCCCACTCCACAGTTCTACGACTCTCTGATTGTAACTTTTTCAGGAGCTGCGGAAGCCACGTTGAACTGAATCGGAGATCTCTGGGTCATCAAGCCAAGAATTTTCAATGCGTAGCAATCCCCGGGTGTTAAACCCGGGAGCTGCAATCCCACATCTGGAGATAACAGTCTAGTCTATGCTGGTGGCAGCAAATATGGCTGGCAAGTATCCAGTTTCTGGCCTTCACAACTGTTTTCTGGCCACTAGAGCATATATACAATGGATTATCCATCTGGGGTCTGCAACAGATCCACTGATCCATTTAACCCTATCTTCTATAATCAACAAATCTAGCAAGATTCCTATATACGTATATGAGATCTCATGCAATTTCAGAAAAAATGGAGATCTAGTAAACCATATTTTGTTTCTAGTTGAATAGTATCACATCAGAGGTGATAAAGGTACCCTCCCCCCCCCCACACACACGCACACCTGAAAAGGTTCATTGACCCCCACCTTCACCAGGCTGATAATACATTCAGTACCTGCATTTTATTACCCAATTTATTTCTGATTAAATAATATTTTCAACCTATCAACCTGGGTAATAGAACGATCCATAGCTATGAATGTCTCCTTCAAGAACCTGATCAGATGCAAGCACTTTCTGGTCAGTGGATCTGATACCTTTTGTCACGTTTTCGCAAGCTGTTCTTTTCATTTTCCTTTCTCTTACAAATTCCACTCAATTGTGCCTTAATGGTATATGGACATTTCTTGTCCATTTAGCATGGACGTTATTCATACTGATTGGGAAGGATGATGAAATACAGCCTTCTGTTACTTGGTAGCTCTGTTATGCATGGACTGAATCTCCATAATTCTTTGGCCAATGACTATTACTGAGAATTCTGGGAACAGAAGTCTACACATCTGGAGGACACCAAGATCAAGGAAAGTTCTTGTAGTCCATCTCTACTAGAGTAAACCATGTTGAAGAAGGATGCTACCAATGTCCAGTTCAGGTTTAGACAACTGTCATGTGTGTTTGGGTAAGGCCGTTCTTGAACATCTTTTATGTACACAATCCTTGGTGCATCGCGCAAACATGCCACCTTTGTCAGCAGAAGGACCCAAAAGTGTAATTAAGAGTCCCTGGCTATGCTCTGACCCCTGTGCTTTAGCTCTGTCCAGCCAATCTCCTATTCATTCCACTGCGAGATAAAACAAGCATTTTGAGATTATCCCAGTCCACACTGCCAATGCCACCTGAGAACAGACGGGCACGGACTCGGTTGCAGATTGCTGTCGTTCGACCACATCTCTTGAGAAGGATGGATGGATGGATGGAGACCAGCTCCTAAAAGTGGACCAATGGATGCATGGGGTGGGCAAGGAGCAGTAATAGTCATGCTCAGTAGAGTAAGCGCTTATGAACCTAACCTTCTATAAACTCTGTGGACCATGAAGAATTTCTGAACTTCTGCAGCCATAAAAAACTGGATTCTTCACTCTGTGTAGAACGGAAGAGTATCAAGTTATGGCGGCCGTGATTTTCTAAAGCACCGTATTTCTGGGTTCCTTGAAGAAGTACTTTCTGGATTACACAGGAGGCTTCATAACTTATCCCCAAATCGATCTGAAGGTCACGTCTCTCTCTCTCATTCTCTCTCTTTCTCTCATTCTCTCTCTTTTTTAAGAAAAGAATTCTTGAAGCAGATGATAATACAGTGCAGATAGAGCTATAAGAACTTGCAGCAAGGGGTCTTTTCTTACCCTCCCTCCCCCTCCATTTTTTTTAAAGCAAAAACAAATTGCACGTGGTCCAGTGTTGACCTTGGAGATAAATGGCTTTCGGATGTCTTTTTTTCTGCTGTTGAACGCAAAGGAGCTTTCTTGGGTTTTTCCTGCAATGTGTATAAAATTATTTTGTCAAATAATAAAGAGTTTCATGCAGAAGCAAGTTGGCCCCAACAATTGTCCCTAAAGGTTCTTTGAGTGGTCTTCCTTTCCTCCCATATACAGCAGGATGAAACAGAAAAAAAGATTGTCGCCTTTGTTGTGTCCGAGAACAATGCTCACATAGCACACGGTTGGGGTTGCGATGTCCAGGTGGTTTGGCCCTTTAAGATGGCTTCTCCCAGAGAGTTCCATGAGTTGGGCTGTGTCTTATGGGGACAATGTCATAGTGGCTGGGGATATGGCTGTTTCTGGGCAGGTCGTATGGATTTTGGATGTAACCAGCACTGCGGAGACGGATCTCCTGGACCACGCTGACTGTGGGCTCTGTGGAAAGAACGAGAGGGAGACGTGGTCTGGGCCATCAAGCATCTTTGGAAGACATTTCAGCATCCCAAAGACTCAGAGACGTTCTCCTCAGATGACACAGGAAACAATCCAGAAACATTTCAAGAATCCCCATCCTTTTGGTTCTTCTAGGCAGGTAGTCCTCAACTAATGGCCACAATTGAGCCCAAAGTTTCTGTTGCGAAGCGAGGGAGTTGTTGTAAGTGATTTTTCCCCCATTTTACGACCTTTCTTGCCACTGTTGTTAAGTGCATCACTGCAATTGTTAATTTAGTAACTGGGTTGTTAAGTGAACCCGACTCCCCCCTTGACTTTGCTTGTCAGAAGATCACGCGATCTCCTTTTGCAACCTTCTGACAAGCAAAGTCAAGGGGGGAAGCCGGCTTCACTTAACAACCGTGTTCCCAGCTTCACAACTTCAGTGATTTGCTTAAGCACCGTGGCAAGAAAAAATGGGGCAAAACTCCCCTAACAACTCCCTCGCTTAGCAGCAGAAATCTGGGGCGCCACTGTGATTGTAAGTTGAGGACTACCTGCAACAACCGACTCCCTCCAACTGGCTCTGCTTTCTCCGGGCACTTACCAACGTCGTAGATGTTTTTGTGGGCCGGCGAAGAGGCTGGCATGTCCAAATACGACGCGTCCCGGTGGGCAGGAGACTTCATTTCCACATAGCTGTTCTCGGGCGGTTTGCGGGTCAGGATGGGGGCCTCTCTGATGGTGGCGTAGGGGTTTTCGCTGCTGTTGAGGGAAGCGGAGCTGGAGCTGTGGGCCGATTCCTTCACGTAGTCTGCAAGACAAGAGCCCGGCTCGGTCTCTTAGCAGGCGGGAGCCACCGAGCCTCGAGGGAGGGGGGGGAGGTTGGAGACCTAGCCCTCAACGCACACAGCACGGGAACCCACCAGTTACGCCTCGGGAATGTCCGAACCACTGTCTCGCCAAACCATCTGCTCATCCAAACTCATGTGCAAGTCATGTCCTGAACATTTGGTGGGAAGAAAAACAGCCCTTCAGTTCCACAGCTCTCACGGTTACAAGGGTCTCGACGTGACGGTTATATTCCGTTAGGCGCCCACGGTGCGCTGCCCCGTCCCGCCACCCGGGGAGGGAGGCGCCACCTGAGGCGTCAAGGAGTGCGCACAGCCGTCTCCCTGGATCTCTTGGGAGATCACTGCCAAGCAGCTGAACCACCTGGTTGAGCTGCATCAGCCACGGAGCCCCCCCCCCCAGTAAAATCTGGACATCAGAGTCAGCACTTTTTCAAACTCATTTATCTCTCGTGGGGCTGTCGGAATCAGCGTTACTGCCAAAGCAGCTGTTCTCCTGATAGGAACCGGTTCCTTGCTTCCGTTCCTTTATCACAGGAAAACATGTGCCGAAGGAAAATTCCTTGCTAGTGATCCCCGCAGGAGGATAAAATCCTATTTTTACTTTATTTTCTCTTTTCCCAAGCAAGGAGACCCCAGTCCTCCCCATATTCTCCTTTCTCCACCCCTTAATATCCGACCAACATGAGGATGCTTCCGTTTTGAGATTGGTAGGCAGGTATCAAGCACGGTATTTTAAACCTTATTGTTACAGTTAGTCCTCAATTTACAACGGTTCATTTAGTGACCATTTGAAGTTACAATGACATTGAAAAAAGTGACTTATGATCGTTTTTCACATTTGCGACCATTGCAGCATCCCCATGGTCACGTGATCAAAATTCAGAGGCTTGGGAACTGACTCCTATTTATGACGGTCGCAGGGTCCCAGAGTCATGTGATCTCCTTTTGCAACCTTCTGACAAACAAAGTTGATGGGGAATCCAGATTCACTTAACACCTGTGTTACTAACATAACACCTGCAGTGATTCACTTAACAACTGAAGCAGGAAAGGTTGTAAAATGGGGCAAAATTCACTTAAGATCTGTGAAGCATTGGGGATTCGCCAGAAACATAAACAATCATTTTAGACCTTTTTAATAATCTTTTATAATTGATTTTATTACGTGTTTTATCCAGTTTTAGACTATGCTCAGTGTATTTTTATTGTCAGGTCAGTATGATTCAGTTTTTCTGAAGCTAGCTTGTTTTTGATATACTGTCTGTAAGACTAGGCAGACATTGGTCGTCCATTGATTGCATCATTGATTGTGTAGTATTGCTATGTCCACTTGTGATGGTTCTGTTTAGTTTTGTTTTATTTGGATGTTTGATTTATGTGTGGCCTTTGGCTGTAATAAATTGAATTGGCAGTGATGAACCACCCACAATTCTGGGAGGAGTTTGATAGCCAAGCAAATATCATGGTTTTGTACAACTTTGCTAAGATTATAATTGGGATCTAAGGATAGCCTAGAATCCATTTTAGCCAAGGCATTCATTGGATGTGATGAAAAATAGGCAAGATGGTGGCCTTTGTTGTCATTGAAGCTCTGGCCATTTTGTGTGTGATGCACATAAAAATACATAAAGCTTTGATCATGCCATCCCAGCCATTATCTTAACTTTGGTTTAACAACTAGACCCAGCAGATGCCTTTGTAGTCCAGTCTGTTCTGTAAACTCAGCCACACAGCCTCGTCAATTCTACCTTTTGATATCTATGCCTCTGATAAACAAGCACCAACTCAGCTTCAGAAGTCCCTGAGATACCCCCCAATAATGGGACCCTTCTAGCTGACAGGCAATTAAAATGGAAAGCAGAAATAAAATAAAATACGAGTATTACTGTATGATGAGAGAGGACCCAAACACCGCTCACGACAATACCTTTGAATCAAAAGCAAAGATTTCAGGCTAATTAGCAGGACCTCTTAAATGAAATGAACCTTTCTGATGTTCCCAAGATGAAAGAAAACAGAACAAGGAGACAGATGCATAATTCTGCTCAGGGTGGATTAAAGGGGGAAGTAACAGGCTCACTCACACCGAAGTATCTTCTCCTGAAAATCATCAGATTTTCAATGAAATGTAAGCGATTGTCTCGGTTACTTTTCTAACCACCAATTTTTTTCCATGGGGGGTGGTTTAGAACCAGAGGACAAGATAGCAAAACCCAGGTCTTTGGATACACCAGGACCAAACTAAGATACAGGGTTTACGTAGGAGCACGCAGTGGTCTCAGTTTAATACAGGTAGTCCTCGACTTACAAGCTCAGAGAGCACCAAGGACCCGTCAGAATCCACACGAACAGCATCGGCATCATCCCCCCTTCCAGAATGAATTGTGCCCCAGAGGAATATTACTCTAAATCTTGAGCTGTGGAAGATAGCTTTTTCTTGGCGCAGAAATCTTTGGCAACGTGAAGCAGGGGGGAGAGAGAGAGACATTTTCCCCACCCCTCCAGGGACCCCGGAGAAAAAGCCAAAGAATTGCTCAGGAAAAGCCAATCTCTCCGGAGCTGAGTTCCTACAGAAAACTGCTGTTAATCAGCCAAGTGTTTCCCCCTTCCTTGCCAAACTCCATCCCTTTGCAGATAACAAGGCCAGCCATTCAAAGCATGCCGGGGTCCCTTCTATGTTAACGATCATTGGCTGTCAATCAACCCAGATCGAAATAGCCACACTTTGTCGGAAAGAATAAAGCCCTCTCAATTTAGCGGATTAAGCTACTTGCAGACTTGACCGGTTCAGCTACAAAAAGCAAAGCCGGCCGACTTTTTAAAAGCCAGGAAATGAAGCACGCTCTTGTTTACTTTGCAATAATTAAAGGCTTAATTTAGAAGCCTCCGCTGATGAAATAAACAGTTGGTTGCCTGAATTCAGAGGGACTTTGGTGCTTCCTTTGGGCAGTGCTAACGTCGGGATTAATGACAGGAATAAATACCTTAGATACGGAAAAAGCAGGGCCTGCCAGAGACAAGCACCCTTAAAACACGGCGGGGGAATTTGTTGTTTTGTAGCTCTTGTAGCTCAAATGCCACCTCCACACCGTCTCCTTATCCTGCTGTGAAAACACCCCACTTCTTCCTCATGCTGGTATCAATGGCCCACATCAAGCAGGCAAAATACAGAATAACAGAGCTGGAAGAGACCTTGGAGGTCCTCTAGTCCAACCCCCTACTCAATCAGAAAAACCTCTAGCATTCTGGACAAATGGCTGTCCGGTCTCTTTTTAAAAGCCTCCAGTGATGGAGCACCCACAGTTTCTGGAGGCAGGTTGTTCCATTGGTTGATTGTTCTCACTGTCAGGAAGTTTCTCCTTAATTCTAGGTTGCTTCTCTCTTTGATTAGTTTCCATCTGTTGCTTCTTGTCCTACCCTCAGGTGCTTTGGAGAATACCCCCTCTCCTTTGGGGCAGCCCCTGAAATATTGGATCACTGCTATCATATCACCCCCAGTCCTTCTTTTCTTTAGACTTGACATACCCACTTCCTGCAAAAAAGCGACAATAGGTGTGCCATACATGTAGTCCTGCAGCAAAACTCACTTAACAACTCACATAGCAATAGAAACTTTGAGCTCGACTGTGCTCGTCAGTCTAGGAATACCTGCACGATATTCTCTCCTCCCAGCTGTTCTAATGCCCACCCATCCTCGTAGGAACCTAAACAAATGCTAATTGAAAGAAGGAATGGAATGAGAAGGAATTGCACAATCTACTTTAGAGGAATTTTGCCCTTGTGCAGGGAATTGAATGGGTTTAATGAGTATATCTTTGGCTTTTTTCCCCACGAGTCTCAATTTGGCAGGAGACCACAAAAAAGTGTCTGCTCAAATTCTGGCAACTTCACGAAGCTTTTTTGTCTCCAGGTCAGAGGTGGCTTGCTGCTCTCTTCTTCTGGGACTTTTGAAAATGACATTTCAAGCTAGACTGTAGTGGTGGCATTTCCTGGTGGTCTCCCATCCAAATATTAACCAATCTGACCCAGTTTAGCTTTTCAAGACCAATTAAATTTGGTTAGATGCTGCCACCTAGCGGGGCACAGAGGGTAGTACAATTATTTTACATACGTCTATGCAGATAGTCCTTGACTTACTTCATATAGTGACTGCTCAACGTTACAATGGCACTGAAAATAATTTACGACTGTTGAAGCTTTCCCGTAGTCATGTGATCAAAATCCAGATGCTTGGAAACTGACATGTATCTATGACAGTTGTAGTGTCCCGAGGTCATGAGATCATCTTTTGTGACTTTCTGACCAGCAAAGTCACTGGGAAAGCCAGATTCATTTTAGAACCATGTTGCTAACTTAACAACTGCAATGACTCACTTAACAGCTGTGCCAAGAAAGGTCATAAAATGGGGCAAAATTCACTTCGCTATCTTCTTAGCCATGGAAATTTTGGACTCAACTGCGGTCGTAGGTTGAGGACTCCCTGTGTTTGGATTTCTGGCAAAAGGCTGGAGAGCTATTTAATCCAGAATGGTAGGTGGATTCCTGCAGTGGCCAGATGTTTGAACTAGAAGACATTCAAGATCCCTTCTAATCCTAGGATTCAATGATTCTATTTGACCAGAAGGGCCATTAAAAGAAGCTGAATTCTGAATGGCTGGAATGGCAGCACCCAGGTATTTTGCTCACTCTGATGGTGCAGCTACACGCAACTCACTACTACTTCCTTAAGTTTATTGATATGAATATTTACTCAGATTCACATATTTTATCCTGTATGCCGAACTAGATGGGATGAAGGCCTGATCTAGTAAGTTTGCAGGCAGAGACATACCTTCGCGACGCAAGCTTCACCCCTACTGTACATGTGCTATGACATCATAACTAGGTAAGAAAGGGGTGGAGCTTGCATTACTATGGTGCACGAAGTGATGCTCTGGGCAAATGCTGGCGGGGGAATTTTGGGAGTTGAAGTCCACCCCTCTTAAAGTTGCTGAGGTTGAGAAACACTGATCTAAGTTAATTATGGACATTTGGAAGGGGAAAAAAATGTTGCCACGAAAATCATTCCAAAGATCTGGAACGGTTTTGGAGAAGGAAAAAGTCTGCAGTGCACATGAGTATCACTGAGCTTCTTGCAATATTCCACACTCTGCTCATCGCAACAACCAACATTTGTCGGTTGCCGACAGAGATTTGTTTCAGGAACCTTTCCACACTTCTGCTATCATGGAGGAGAACATCTCAGCTTCTCTTCTAATATCCCAGTGACCTTTAGAGAGCTGAATTGGCAGCTGGGACGAAACCTATTTACAGCCGAATTGGCATTGCACATTTATTATGCTTACCTAAAAATCTCTTCTCGCTTTGCAGGTTTTCTCTTCAGGAACCAGCCCCTGCGTGGCAAATAAGGAAGATTTACTCTGCTCGGCAAAGCACGGGTGGCTTTTTAAAATGTTCTAGCTGGCCTGCTCTTTTCTGGTTGCCAAGAGAAATTAAATGCAAGCCCGAGGCCCGCTTCCAATGTAAAGGTCTACTGTCCTAGTCCGTAAAGAGGAGAAACTTCCTGGAACATTAGCAAATCTCCTTGAAAATGGGCCAAACCCTGATGGCTCAAAGGAGGCAACTTCCAACTCGGCAGAAGGAAAAGATGCTTCATGTGAGGCCGATTTCTGAGCCACGCCAAGGTGACTGAGATGGTTTAACCTCCCTGTGTGTGGCACCTGTACTCTGTTTCTTAATTTCATGGGGTAATTCCACTCTTTGGCCTGGAAAAGCCTATTAACAGAAACTGTTGACATGTTTTGATATAATGGGTGAGCTACATATCTGTCCCTGGTGCTAGGCTTAGAACAAGGGTCTTCACACTTGGCCCTTTTATGACTTCTGGACTTCCAACTCCTTTAGCAGCAGGCCGACATCGTGGCTGAGAAGATTCCGTTTCATATTAAATGCATGTCACTGATCTTCTTCAGTCAGAATTGGGATCAGAATTCTCTTCCTAAGCTCGGCGGTTCAGTCAGTCACGCTTGATTTTATGACCTGTTTTGACACAGCCATTAAATGAAGCACTGCAATTATTAAGTGAATCACTTGGCCCTTAAGGGGAATCCTGCTTCTGCCATTGACCGTCATAAATACAGGCTGGTTGCAAAACACCCCAAATTTGGCTAGGTGACCATGAGGATGCTGTGACAAGCGTAAGTATGTGGACCATGATAAGTCATTTTTTTCAGTGCTGTTGTAACGTTAAACAGATGCTAAACAAATGGTTTTAAGTCAAGGATGAGCTGTATTTTAGACATTCTACTTCTGCACACCCAGATGAAATAACATTTGGTGTTCTTGAAGCGGAGCCCTTTACTTTGGCCTTCAGAAATGGGGCAGGAGAGAAGAAACTCCTGGCTGTGGGCAGAGTTGCCTGCAATACTGCATTCTAACCACTGCGCCACCAGGGCTCTATGAACGTAGCCAGTGCCATCGGGTGATCTGTGGTAGGTAAGAAATTATTGTAGACTTTCTACGAGTTAAATTACAATAACAGATTGTTGACAGTGGGCTTTGTAGTTTAACTTTGGCTGTTGATTAACCTGTTAACTATTTTTTCTTCCTATACATACATACATATATATGTATGCAGGTGTATGTGTATATATGTATAACGTATGACAGGTCAAACTAGATGACAAATAGATGTAAACATTTATAAATCTTGCACCTCTTTCGCAAGGGGAAAAACTATTCTTGTTGCCAGCTAGGGGGGATAACATGTGTTTTTGGTTTTTTTTGTCTTTTTAACTCCTTTTTTTGTCGTTTTGTTTCATCTTTGTAATTTTTTTCCTTCGTATTTTAATTGTCTGAATAAAATTCAAAATTAAAAAAAAAAGAAATTAGCCAGTGGCACCGGGAAAAGCAGACCTGGTGTCCGACAGATAAGACTTCCCCTCCCCTTTAGCCGGTGCTGTCCTCGTCCCAAGGCCCCTTACCGGAGAGCGAGTAATCGGTGTTGGTCATCCGCAGGGCCGGGGTGTACGAGACGCTCGGCATGTCGTGCCCTTTCTTCTGCTTACGTCGATACCACACAAACAGTGCCAGCAAAACCATAATAATTAGCAGGAGGATAATAATTCCAGAGATTGCTCCCACTGAATGCCTCTCAGATCCAAGAGCTGGGCTAATTTTAGTATAGGGATTTAATTCTTCCATCATGAGAGCCGCTGTTAAAAATAATTCACAATGCACCATTAAATTAAGTGGGGGAGGCCATGTTGCAAGAAAGGGCCAGCTATTTACAGGGATTACAGTTCTTAAAGCTTTCCACCAGCTCGTCTGAAACGGGTCACCGGACTACAACTCCCAGGGATGCTGAGAGATGTGGGCCGGCAATATCTGGAGAGCTACTCTTTGGGCCCCCGTGCCAGTTGGAAGGAAACCTCAGCTAGCCCAGAGAAACTGCCTTCCTCTTGTTTCATGGTTTTTACAGGGTGCATCTCTGCCCCACGTGCCAGCTTTTGGTTCATTTCAATAACACTTGGCAATTTAGGCTTATATACCGCCTCTTTACAGCACTCTCTGGGTAGTTTATAATATAGAAGCATTGTTTGCTGCCCCCAACAAGCTGGGTCCTCATTTTTACCAGTCTCGCAAGGATGGAAGGCTGAGTCAACTATGAACTAATCAGGATTGAACTCCAGGCTGTGGGCAGAGTTTGCCTGCAATGCTGCATTCTAACCACTAGGGTCCTTATGGGGTGGGACCAGTTCTATGTAGATGACCTCTCCCCTTTGATTCTAGGCAAATCTGCCTTATGAAATGCAAGGGACGGGAGGATCCACAAAGAGGAGGTCAAAAAGTCATGATGGAACCCAAGCTCCAACTTTTTCTCCCTGCATTGCGCCTAGTTGTGGTGCCCACGTTGACTTATTTTGAACTGCCTTTAGACATCCTTCAAGGAGGTATTTGGGAGAGAAGGAATGTCATTATTTTATTTAGAAGATTTATATGGCTGCCCAGTCACTCTCAGTGACTCTAGGTGGCTTACAAAAAGTCAAAAACCCAATATAAAAAGAATAAAAAAGACAATACCCCCCCCCCCCAACATCCCTCTGTCAACAACACACAATCAAACAAGCCACTTGATGGGCATCATCCCACTTGGGGTTGCCCAGGCCTGTTGGAAAAAAAACAGGTCTCCAGGCCTGGTGAAAATGTGTCAAAGTGGGGGCCAGTCTAATCTCTGCAGGGATGGCGTGCCAAAGGGAGGGAGCCACCACAGAGAAGGCCCATCATCCGGGTCCCGCTAGATGTATCTCCTTAGGAGAGGGGCCTGCGACATCCCTGGTGGTGGGCTGGGCACATGTGACTGGGAAGAGACGGTCCTTCAGATAACCATGAAGGGCTTTAAAGGTGACAATCAGCACCTTGAATTGCACCTGGAAGCAAATTGGCAGCCAATGCAGGAGAGGTGACACGGGTGCACACCTGGGGCTGCACAATGATATATGATGGCATCTGAATCAGGCTGTTTTATTCTAGCAAAGTAAATGCCTTCCCTTGACCCATGACTGGGTCTCTACCTCCAAACTGGGCCATCTCTGTTAAACCTCAGCATTTCAGGTTCCAGTTACTAGTCCTCATGGAAAAACCCAAAGCCAGATAGTCTGCCCACCCTGCCTTTTCCCCCTCCTGTGTGATTTTTTTTTCCAGGGTGTAAGCATTTTTGGGGGGAGGGGTGTCTTTTTGAGCTGTTCTGGAATAATGGCCCAAGACCGAGTTGAAGGCTCCATTGAAAAGGAAAAGAGCAAGGGAAAGAGGAGGAATTGCCTCACCTTGATCGCACCTGATTCCTTTGAACCCGGGGCTGCAGTAACAGGTACCTGTAACATAGTCACAGGTGGCGTTATTCATGCACTCGCAGAGCTGCTGGCAGCCATAACCAAACGTCCCTTGTGGGCACTCTGAAAATGCAAGGTGGAAAAAAGCCTGTAAAAAAAACAGCCCGGCATTTTGCCAATCTAGTTATTTTTTTTGCAATAGAGGATCCTCAGGAGATGCTAGTTAGGAAAACCCCAGGTAACCTACACAGCCTTCCTGTAGGACAGTGATGGCGAACCTTTTAGAGACCGAGTGCCCAAACTGCAACCCAAGACCCACTTATGCATCGTCGAGTGCCGGCTGGGTGTGGCCCATTGGCTGGGCGTGGCTGCGGTGGTAATGGCAGACTGGGTGGGACTAAAAAGTTCAATCAATCAATTCCAACTTTGCAAGATCTTTTTTTTCCCCGCGAGAAGTTGAAATTGACTGATTGAACCTTTTTCTTTTTTTTGCACACGGCGGCAGAGGCCTAAAGCAAAAAGTTTTTATAAAACCCAGCTGAAGGTCTAGGACTGGGGTGACGGCGCGCGTACCCACAGAGAGAGCTCTGAGTGCCGCCTCTGGCACCCGTGCCATAGGTTTGCCACCACTGCTGTAGGACAATATTTTTCAATCTTGGCAACTTGAAGATGGGTGGACTTCGACTCCCAGAATTCCTAGCCAGCCATATAAGGGGATTTGCATTTTTGGTTTGGAGTGACTGTTCTCACTGGGGGTGACTGAGGAGGGGGTGCTGCAGCTGGTGACGTTCCTTCTGATACGTTTTCCATCACTCTGAAGCTTCAGTTTCCCCCTGAGATTTCGTGAGACCCAGAGAGGCTGGAGAGATAGTTGTGACATAGTCATCCGTCCTCATCTGCCTGACACTAAATAGAAGCAAGAACACCCACATTTTCTCCTCCCAAAACTTTTCAAAAACGAATGCTTGTTCATCAAATTCAATGAGAATTAACAGGGAAAAAAAAATGCGCAGGAGAGTTTTGCACAGAGTCAGGCGGGCACAAGGAGCCCACTGAGGTTATGGGGCACCTTCTCAGTGAATGTGGCCCCCACTTCCCTAAGCCTCCTTCTGACTTCTCGTACAATGCTGGCTACCCTGAACAGCGACAGGCTGTCAGATCCAGTTTCCCACTGGATGTCCCATCATGCCCTTGGGGAGTATCTCTCCAGGGTGCTGTGGGAAATGCCCCGATGAACCAGGTCTGGTTAGTTGCTCACTGCAACCTGCGCAACTGCGTTTGACGGATTGTAATTTAATTTTTGCAAAGAAATGCCGTTTAAAGCGTCTCTCTTCGTAGAGTCAATGCTTTCAATTCTGTAATACTAAACATGAAAAATTTGCAATTTGTTTTTGGAAAACGCTGAAGGTCACCCCCAAGTCTCTTAGAGATTATATTTCTCCGGGGGTTTGGGTCCTGTAGCCTTGAGCAAGACAAGCCAGGCGGGGCCCCTCCAGGGACCCCCTGAACCGAAGGCGTCCCTGAGGCCATCAAAACGCGATGGTTTCCTTTTTCCCCTTCCTTTTCTCTCCAGGCTGCCAACATTTGGTTTTCCATATTTCTATCAGAAGGAACATGATTGAATGGCCAGTGACAAAATTTATTCATACAATTACCGTGATGGTGACAATAAATCTGGCGAGAGCTTATTGTGTTTCTTTGGGCAACATTCAATAAAAATGAAGAGGCAGGCTGTAAAGCAGCTGGGGACTCTGCTACTCTAGTGGGAAAGTTTTGGGGGCACCCCCAGGCGCTCTGCATTCCTCTTCAACCTAAGGCAGATACATCAGGATGGAAAGAAGGGAGGGAGGGAGGGAGGGAGGGAAGAAAGAAAGAAAGAAAGAAAGAAAGAAAGAAAGAAAGAAAGAAAAAAGAGGGAGGGGAGGAAGGAAGGAAGGAAGGAAGGAAAGAAAGAAAGAAAGAAAGAAAGAAAGAAAGAAAGAAAGAAAGAAAGAAAGAAAGAAAGAAAGAGGGAGGGAGGGAGGGAGGGAGGGAGGGAGGGAAGGAGGAAAGAAGAGGGGAAGAGGGAGGGAGGAAGGAAAGAAGATGGAGCGAAGAAGGACGCCAAAAGTGAAGGATGGATAAATGGGAGGGAAGGAGGGAGAGGGAAGGAGGGAAGGAGGGAGGGAAGGAAAGGAAAGAAGAGGGAGGAAGGAAGGAAGGAAGGAAGGAAGGAAGGAGGGAGGGAGGGAGGGAGGGAGGAAAGAAGAGGAGGAGAGAGGAAGAAAGAAAGGAAGAAACAAAGAATAGATGGATGAATGGAAGGGAAGGGAAGGGAAGGAGGAAGGAAAGAAAAGGGGGAGACGGAGGAAGGAAGGAACGAGGGAAAGAAGAGGGAGGAAGGAAGAAATGAAGGATGGATGGGAGGGAAGGAGGAAGGAGGGAGAGAGGGAGACGGGGGAGGGAGAAAGGAAGGAAGGAAGGAAGAAGGGAGGGAGGAAAGAAAAGGGCGAGAGGAAGGAAGGAAGAAACAAAGAATAGATGGATGAATGGAAGGGAGGGAGGGAGAAAGGAAGGGAGGGAGAAAGGAAGGAAGGAAGGAAGGAAGGAAGGAAGGAAGGAAGGAAGGAAGGAGGGAGGGAGGTAGGTAATGACTGCAGCCCAGAATACAAAATGCCCATTTCTGTGGACGATGGGATGGGTGTATGCCTTCAACCACACAGATGCTCTGTCTTCCACAGCAAGGGGAGACAGTCTTCTTTTTTTGGGGGGAGGGGGCTTCCTGCAGGCACCCCAAAACCCCCTCCAAAGCAAAGCAGCTCAAGTCTACTGGCTAAGAGGCTTTCCCTTCCCCACCACTTACTCTGCTCGCACTGTTTTCCGGTGAAGCCGGTTCTGCAGGTGCACTGCCCGGTGACGTGGTCGCAGTCGGCCCCGTTCTGGCACTGGCAGAGGCTGGCGCAGTGCTTTCCATAAAAGGCAGCTGGACATCCTGGCAGAGGGGGATCCAGAAAAGAGACAGGAAGACATCAGGCAAGTAGAACGGAGCCCACGTCTCCCCCTGAACCACGGCCTTTGCGGGGGGGGGGGGACCTTAGGCCAGGAACCAGATTCGACTCTAAGGTATAGTAGGGGGTGATGGGGTCCGTAATCCAACATCTCCACAAGGTTGGGAAAATGGTTTGGGCCAGTGTTTCTCAACTTTAAGACAGGTGGACTTTAACTCCCAGAATTCCCCAGCCAGCTTTGCTGGCTGGGGAATTCTGGGAGTTGAAGTCCACCTGTGTTAAAGTTGCCAAAGTTGAGAAACACCCAACTTTGAGGACCTTTTTCGGGATCGGCTTCAAAGTCCAACCTGTATGCAAAATTAGGGAATCTGTGCTGGGGAAATTAGAACGCTTTGTGCAACTATAAAAGTACTGCTCTTTTTTTTCCTTTTTTTTTTGTTCGCTTGTTAGGATTGATTGATGCTTGGTGGGTTTTATTTGCTTTGGTTTGGCTGCCGTTTGACTTGCGGCAACTCTGAAAATGCTCAGAGCAGACACTTGGGGGCAGTGCAAACTTTTGCAGAGATCTTCCAAGTGGGAGCCTCAAAAGTCTTCCAACTCTGGGTCTTACTCTGAGAACAGTAGGGACCCGTCCAGCCAGGGGTACATTGGCATTCTCCGTTGTGGGGGCTGCACGTCCCACCGTTGTGACAACTGCACGAATGAAAACAATCGGTTCCCCAAAAGCCCGCTGGACAAGCTGGTGAGAAAGAGAAAGAGAGAGAGAGAATATGTCCCAATGTTTCCATCCTTGAAACTGAAAAGTGTTTTGAATATAGAATAATAGGGTTGGAAGGGACCTTGGAGGTCTTCTAGACCAACTCCTGCTCAAGCAGGAGACCATAGATCTTTTCAGACAAATAGTTGTCCAGTCTCTTCTTGAAAAACTCCAGTGATGGAGCACCTACAGTTTCTGGAATCAAGCTGTTCCATTGATTAATTGTTTTAGCTGTCAGGAAATTTCTACTTAATTCTAGGTCGGATCTCTCTTTAATGATCTTCCACCCATTGCTTTTTTGACCTGTCCTCTGGTGCTCTGGAAAATAGGTTGACCCCCTCCTCTTTGTGGCAGCCCCTCAAATATTGGAACACTGCTATCATGTCACCCTTAGTTCTTTTCACTAGACAAGACACACCCAATTCCTGCAAGTGTTCATCGTATGGTTTAGCCTCCAGTCTCCTAATCATCTTTGTTGCTCTTCTCTGCACACTTTCTAGGGTCTCAGCAATTTTTTTGTGTCTGGAACTGGACACTTTTAACTATTTTAACTATTTTCATCAAACTGCTACAGTTCACAGCTTCTTCCACAGGGATAAATACACTCTGTACATGCGCTGAAATCTCTCCCATCAGGATGGCAGGGAAAGGGATACAAAAAGGATCTTGCTCAACCTGCTGTCAACTCTACAACGAACCTAGCTGCAGCCATCTTGCTCGTTCTAGGTTGCTACAAAGATGGGAGGGGGTGTGGAGGAATTCTGCTAGTCTAAACAATTCAATGTCCCGTGGGAACCAAGGTCTTTTCTGCCAGTGGGATTGGGAGGGGGAACAGTTGGGTAGAAATCCTGCCAAACTATTCTGTTGGGAAACGTAGCTGATTGCATAGCACTGGGGTGGGAAGTTTAACTTTGTAATAGTGTTTCTCTTTGCAGGGAGTTTTAGACTTGGTTTCACTTTTGATCATGCCAATATTTTGTAACCAATAAACATGTCCTTTGAGGAAATCTCTAGCCTCGGAGTTCTGATTTGTTTGGTCTCCTCTATCGGAACCTGGACACCTGCGTTTTAATGCACATTCACCCACTTCATCCTTTTTCAGATCAATATCAGAAGCAAAACAGCTGTGTACTTAAATATCAGCCCCGCTTCACATTTGACAGTTCTCCAGGCTACAAAACATATCCAAAAATATAAACAGGGGAACGGGAGGACATAAAAAGGGCTTTGGAATAATCTGGGTGTGAAAGTGTGTGTATTAGACCGTATTCTGTTAACAAAATATAGTTGTAAGGAAAGTGTGCTCAGCTATGTGTAAAAAATGATGCAGAAATTGGAAGAAGTAGATTTTGAAACTGACAGACTAAGAATGGAATGAAAGTGAAATTTATTGGTTGTTTTGAAATTACCGCAACAGTTTTAGGGCAAGAAAATTCTGTTCTGGAACTACATCAAGCATTAAGCAGGTTCGCACATTACTTTAAGCTGCCTAGACCCTGCTAAGATTGAGCAGATGGATAAAGTGCACAGATAAACACATATGATGGCTTGTTTAACCAATCATCTTGGCTTCCTGTGACCCAGACATTCTAGCATTTCACAATCCCTTTTTACAAAAAAAATGAAATGTTTGCCACTGGCCCCATTTAGCACAAATGCAGAAGAATTGCTCAGGCCTTTTCAAAGTAACCACCCACGAAATTTGATAGCCTGCCTAATTTTTATTTTGACTGACAGCCATACTGAACTCACGGAAGACCTACAATAAAAGCAAAATTGCAGCTGTCTGTTTTTATCCAATCCCTACTGTATCACTGGAGGTTTAATGTATTTTGCAACAAATGCTATTTAATATCCCTTGCTGCACACTGAATATGGAAACACCGTTCTGGGGACACGCTGGTCTTCCCTGCAATGCCCCATCTCGCGTGAAGACGTCGTTTAGAAAAAGCTACTTTTAGGACCGCCGATGTCAATCTCCTGTCTAGGCAATTTCAAAGAAATAACTATCTGCCTCTCCTAGACTTTAACAAGTAAATTACATGTAAGAGGAACGGTAAAAGAATTTCCCTTCTGTCTGTAGCTACGTGTACCTCACTGCACAGAATTGTCAATCGCTTAATTATTTCTTGAAGAATTTTTTTGAAAAGAATGGGTTTTCCTTTAAAACAATAATTAAAAAAACCTTGGTCTTTTGGGTGGATTAAGGTGGGGTATTGTGGAAAATCTCTTATGGGTCAGAGATTCACGTAGAACTTTTGGCCAACTTTAAAATTTTGTAAAATAGATACATTTGCTTTGCTGGATTGTGTAGAGTGGAGTGCGTGTGTTTGAAAGATTGGTTTTCTCTCCCAAAAACGTGGCCAAGTCATTGTTTTCCCTCCAGCAGCTCATACTGGAAATTAAAGCAGAAATCCTGTCCCTGCCCTACTCTTAATGCAGCATTTCTATGGCTGAGATTGATGCCCAGATTTCTCTATGATGTTTATTCAGAAATAGTTCTCCAACTAAGATCCCTTCCAACCTTAATTAAAGGCTTCCTGCCTGTAGGTCGCGCCCTTCTGTTGCTTCCTGTTGAGCACACAGCTGGGAAATTAACAATGAACAGCTAGTTAATTATTTTTTCCCTGGCCCCCTTAACTGTCCCTTATTTCTGTTCCTGGCATGGTAGGAAAGTTGTATTAAAGGCTCCTCCTACCCTCCCCGCTTTTTATGGGTTCCATATTTATGAAGTGAAATAATATCCTATACAGGGGGGGTTATAAGAAGAATTGTGTAATTAAATACCTCCCCTTACAAACTGTCGTTAAGTAGCAATTAGGAGAAACTCTTTGGGGGCAATTAATAGACTATTCACAAGTAATTCTAGCAATGATGTTCCTCAAGAATCAATAAACTGGGGCTGAGTGTCCCGACAGGAAGCTTTTCATTAAACAAACATCGGCATTAAGTAACCGATCATGCATTTCCAATAAGATATATGAACAAAGGGCAACCTTTATAGAGAAGATTCAGACAGGAACCAGATGGCATCAATAAACATTACCTCAGGTTCAGAAGAAGATGATTGCAGTCACTCATCCCCCTTCCACTTAGAGAACCCCTTTAACCTAACATTCCAGAAAGTGGACCTAAATAAGTGATTTCTCCTATACAAATGCTGTCATGGTTCCGATAGATGAATCCCATTCAAGAACTTCAAGGCAAGAATTAATTAAATTAAATTTAAATCTGCCTATTTACCCCTAAATATACGTCTGTAACCTTAAAAGAAAATCACTGCAATGGTATACAAACTAAAAAGAGGTGTATTTCTCTTACTTTGTGAGCAATCTTTGCCGATCCATCCTGGGAAACACTGGCAAGAGCCATCCGTGGGATTGCAGGTCCCATTGTTTGTACACAAACACAACTCAGCACAGTCTTTTCCATATCTTCCACTTGGACACACTGTGGAAACAAAAAAAGGTATCAAGGTTGCATTGTGTTGAATCTCCTCTTGAAGCTCACCATGTTACGTAGAAGAAGTGGCTCTCCAAGGAATTGTATGTTGAGCTTTGGTTGAGCTTCTACTAGTTCCTGGTTTTGTACAATGGGTAAAGGAAAAGAAGCTGAAATTTAATCCAGACAAGATTTCATTTGGACATTGTATAAATGACTGTATCTTTTGTTGAATGGGGTTGTTTTGCTCATGAGGAACCAAATTCATGGACTGTAGAAATTCATGAACTCAACTCTGTAGAAGTACAGATGGACAGTCCACCAGCTCTCATCAGCTTACACTGTTACACCAGCTGTGAGCCTGTCTAAAATTAGATTTACCTTTTTTTTAACTTAGTGAGCTCCACTTGTACTGTTGCCATGCACTCTAACTACAGCTGCCTCTGGAAAATGTTCAAGAAAGGGCTGACCAGATGTTGGCAGGATAAAACCACTGGAACACATGTTACTAATTCTGTGTCAGTTTTATTAGCTAGGTATGTCTAGCCCAGGGGTCTTTAAACTTGGCCCTTTTATGACTTGTGGACTTCAACTCCCAGAAATCCTGAGCCAGCATGGCTGAGGAATTCTGGGAGTTGAAGTCCACAAGTCATAAAAGGGCCAAGTTTGAAGACCCCTGGTCTATCAAAGAGAAAGATTAGGGGAGACATAATTGTCTTCCAGCACTTAGGCTGTCACAGGGAAGAGGGGTTCATCTTATTCTCCAAAGCACCAGAAGAAGGCAGGACAAGAAGCAATGGATGGAAACTAATCAAGGAGAGAAGCAACCTAGAACCAAGGAGAAACTTCCTGACAGTGAGAACAATTAATTAATGGAACAGATTGCCTCCTGGAGTTGTCGGTTCTCCATCACTGGGGGTTTTCAAGAAGAGATTGTATAGTCATTTGACTGAGATGGTATAATGTCTCCTATCTTGAGCAGGGGGTTAGACTAGAAGACCTTCAAAGTCCCTTCCAGCCCTGTGCTTCTATGCTTTCTACGTTGGATTCATAATGCTAGCTTGGGTTAAAAAAAGACCCTTGGATATTATAGGGCTTCTTATTTGAAGGCCCACTCATGTATACCAATGTATCAGGACTCAGCAGGTCCTTTTCATGGACTGGTCTATAAGATTGATTTGTCTTTGCAAAAAGGACCCAGAGCTTTTTCAGGGATAGTCTCCACATTGCACGCTCCATAGTAATGAGTTATGTATGGCTTCAACTTTTGCCTGTGTTTAAACTAATATTACTTATTTCATGACGCTTTTTCTTGTAGTCGGTCTTTTCATCTCTGCAGTGTTAACATTAAAGAGTAATTTAATGGCTTAGTGCTTTTATTTATTACGTGTGCTCTTTTATCTCTCTGTTTCTAACTATAATTTACAACGTTCCATGATTGGTCAAAGTGCAGCTTTGTGATATATCAGACATTTCAGCAAAGCAAGATTCTGTCTGGATGCAAAACCACTTCATCAAAATACAGCAAATATTATGCAAAACCCTACTGTCTCGGGAAATGAGTTCCATATCATGGTAGACTTCGATCTAATAAATCTTCATTCTCCAAGATGCTGTAAAGCTGAAGAAGACGCCTTCAAAAAAAGTTCACACAAACCATTAAACTCCACCATACTTGTGTATCAAGCACGTCCATAATTGATGGATCTAAGAATTTTGAGAGAAGGACAAAAATATTCTGTTTACGTAGGAATGGGCAGATACAACTACAATGCTAATTTGTTATTAAAGTTCTGAAAAAGGACTGCGTTCCTCTGTTATTAAAATTTCAGATGTGTTCCTGAAACGATCATGATTTATGACTCAAATTCCTTACATGGCTATTAAAAAATACTTGGAAATATATTATTCCTAGCTAAAGTGGCCCTTTTACTACCTATCGCAGATCAGACATGCATAATCTGAGGGCCACAGTTAGCTCCTGAAAGCTTTAGATGTGGCTTCCAGAGCTCCAAAATTTACTACCAGGTTGTAATTTTTAGCATGACAAAAGATGGAAAATATTACATTTTCTGGAGAGTCATCCTAGTCAGTGTATTTCACTTTCACTGGATTTAAATGCAAATGTGGACTCTCCTTCACCAGATGTGTTCAAACAGGCTGGATGACTTATCTGTTCAGGACTGCACTGGGGAGAGGGTTGATTTAGATAATCCTCCAGGTCCCTTCTAACCCTTACAGAATTACAGAATAAGAGTTGGAAGAGACCATGGAGGTCTTCTAGTCCAACCCCTTGCTCAAGCAGGAGACCCTATACCATTCTTGACAAATGGCTTTCTAGTCTTGAAAATCTCCAGTGATGGAGCACCCACAACTTCTGGAAGCAAGCTATTCCAGTGATTAATTGTTCTCATAGTCAGGAAATTTCTCCTAAGTTCTAGGCTGGATCTCTGTTTGATAATCTTCCATCCTTTGCTAGAAGAATGATCAAAGAGGGAAGCAGTTTTGTAAACATGGAAGCCAACTTACATTTGTAACAAACCAAGCTGAAGAAATGCTATTAAAAGAGATGGTGAGAGAAACACACCATCTTAATTTCAACTTGCGGGGGGGGGGGGGGAAGTGCTTTATGTTAATCCCAAATAAAATATTGAACTGCCTCCTCCTCCTCCTCCTCCTCCATCTCTTTCTTGCCTCATATTTTTTCTTCAGAAAAATATGTATCATTTTGTATGCTTGCCTATTATGATAAATTGCAACACCAATTGTCTTTAATTAGAACATGAATATTTGATGGAAATCCTGCTGGCTGGATCAACATTTCAAAGGGAAAGCAGGGATGCTCAACAGATTGAAATCAAGAAAAGAGAATTTGACTTAATGAGATAATTAGCCCCGCTCCAGACTTTGAAAAATAAGCTAGATTCTTCTAAGAAATCAGACATCATTTCCTGAAAAGAGAAAATTAAGTGTTTGGTCTCCTACTAAATGTTCCATTTCATGCTGATGTCAGTTGCAAGGAGAATAGAAAATGGATGCCTGCATTTGGTCTGGCCATAATTATTTGATCTAAGTGTGATTTGCATGGAGGACATGATAGCAGCCTTCCAATATTTGAGGGGCTGCCCCAAAGAAGAGGGAGTCAAGCTATTCTCCAAAGCACCTGAGGGTAGGACAGGAAGCAACGGATGCAAACTAACCAAGGAGAGAAGCAACCTAGAACTCAGGAGAAACTTCCTGACAGTTAGAACAATCAACCAGTGGAACGGCTTGCCTTCAGAAGCTGGGGGTGCTCCATCACTGGAGGTTTTTAAGAAGAGATTGGACAATCGTTTATCTGAAATGAGATAGGGCAGAGGGTCTCCTGCTTGTGTAAGGGGGCTGAACTAGAAGACCCTTCCAACTCTGCTTTCTGTCATTCTGACCTCATCAGGTATGCCATTAAACAGAGCGCTGATTCAGGTGTCATGCTAAGTCAGGAGTGGATAACAGCCATTTTAACGCAAGGATTTATATTTTTAATTTGATTTAATTTTAATTTATTTATAATTATTTTGGCTGGCAAAGGACACCATAGTGTGAGGAAGTCAAATTCATATTGCAGGAGGGGCAGAGAAATACAGAAATACAGAAAGGCCGCAAGTTAAAACTGTAATGGCACCTGCCCATCTTTGGTAGATCTCATGATGGTCCTAAAAACCAACTCAAGATGATCCTAAAACAGGTTGGTTACGTAACTGACTCGATTTTATGACTGGCAGGTTTTTTAGCAGTGTACTCATGTACAGTTTTGCCAAAACCCAGAAGTAAATGCCAAATGTTCAGCAAAAGCCTAGTAAAACGCGATCACGTGATTGTGGGATACTGGACATCAAGCGCCTGAAATACAGTCACTTGACGGTGTGGGTGATGCAACTGTTGGTACTTCGAAATGCATGCCTGGCTGAGGAATTCTGGGAGTTGAAGTCCACAAGCCATAAAAGGGCCAAGTTTGAAGAGCCCCTGCATTAGACCAAACTGATCATAGTTTGTTATGAGTACAAACCGCCTCTCCTTGCACTGTTATTCCTTCTCTGACCTAACCACAAGCCTGTACACTTGTTTCTTTGCATTTGACTAAGCCTGGCTCTGTTTTTGAAAGTATGCTTAAACTGAATTAAACTTGCTGTTAACAAGCCAACTTCAAATCATAGTTGCAAAGCCAAAAAGTGCAAGGCCATTCCACCCAATAAGCAGTAGATAATCTGAAATGGCCATTTGTATTCACCCAGTGTCCCCGCAGAAGGCCAGTGAACAGGAGCGCAGCAAACCTAATCTCCGGACTTACTCTCACGGTGCTAAATCAAGGCTGAGCTTTATGTCCAAACATAGCTAAGGTTCTCAGATGAACCTGGCGTAGAAAATGCTCGAGGACAACAAGCCATAAATCATGGCCACAACTCCCGAAACCTGGAGAACGATGTTTTTTTCATATGCTGGAATGCTGGTAACCAAAGAATTATTATATAAACCCACCACTGATTTATGGCTGTGGATTATTATTTGTCAACATTTTAATTAGTCTGCTTTCTATAGAAGGGCAAAGTAGAGGACACCAAAGTGATTTGGTTATATTTTCTGAAACTCTTTTGTTTATGATATACCTTCCCCACATATTTTTTCCTCCTTTTCCTCCCATTTTAATTTCATGTCCTACGCAGATTGTTTACAGTGTTAATTGCTAGTTTAGACAATATGGTTTGTCAATATTTATATAATAACAAAAGATGAGTGTGTGGTGTTGGGTTTTGTTTTGGGTTTGTCGTCGTCGTTACGTGATTTTTATTTGTTCCTTTAATAAAACACACAAACAACATTCAGAATACTGGAACACCCTGCCGTGCTCTTGGAAAGAGCTGTAAAACAACCACTGGGTGTTTGGGTTTTTTTCAAATCTAAAAAAAATAACAGTTGGGTTCAGCAATTGGTTAAGCGTGCTTGGTAGAAACGGTGGATACAGGGTTTGCAAAAAGGTCTAGCACAGCTGGAAAAAACAGACAGGAGGTCAACAAAATGATGAAGGGGCTCACATTTCTAGCTTGGGAAAGGCGTAGAACAGGCAGGTCCAACCTGTGACCCACAGACTGCATTCAGCCCCAGAAGATAATAAATATAAGAAAATATACATTAACTGTGTTATATTTCTTAATGGGGCCAAGAAGATATAGAACATAGAGTAAGAGGGCTGGCAAAGACCTTATACTATTCTGCCCTCAGGTGCTTTGGAGAACAGGGTGATCCCCTCTTCTCTGTTGCAGCCCCTCAAATACTGGAAGACAGTTATCATGGGCCCCCTAGTCCTTCTCTTTATTAGACTGGACATACCCAGTTTTGCAAACATTCCTCATACATTTTAGCCTCCAGCCCCCTAATAATCTTCTCTGCACTCTTTCTAGAGCAGGGGTAGGCAACCTCGGCTCTTTTATGACTCGTGGACTTCAACTCCCAGAATTTCTGAGCCAGCTGTGCTGGCTCAGGAATTCTGGGAATTGAAGTCCACGAGTCATAAAAGAGCCGAGGTTGCCTACCCCTCTTCTAGAGTTTCAACATCATTTTCGTACTGTGGTGAGAATTAGAAACTCAAAGATGACATTAGTTATTTTTTTTAAAAAACCTGCTTCCAGTTGGCATTAGAGCATTATACGGGGTGCAATCAATTACAGGTAGTCCTCGACTTACAGCAGTTCATTTAGTGACTGTGCAAAATTACAACAGCGCTGAAAAAAATGACCATTTTTCACCCTGACGACCATTGCAGCATCCTCCACGGTCACATGATCAAAATTTGGACGCTTGGCAACTGACTCCTATTTATGACGGTCTGCAGTGTCCCGGGGTCACGTGATCCCCTTTTGCAACCTTCTGACAAGCAAAGTCAGTGGGGAAACCACATTCACTTAACAACTGGGTCACTAACTTAAGAACTGCACTGATTAATTTAACAACTGTGGCGAGAAAGGTTGTAATATGGGGCAAAATTCACTTAACAAATATCTCACTTAGCAAAAAAAAAAAAAAAGAATTGGGCTCAATTGTGGCGGTAAGTCGTGGACTACCTGTACGTACCGACTTACGGAGTCCGCAAATAGCCCCTTACCTTGGTTGCAGAGGGGCCCAAAAAACCCTGGTAGGCAATCACATTGTCCCGTGACGTGATGGCAGGGGAGTGTGCTGTGAAAGCATTGAGGACAAATTTGGTTGCAGTGAAGCCCGTAGAAACCAGGAGGACAAACTAAGAGAGATCAGAAAAGCAGAACAAGGAATAAACAAAACTGTAGACGAAGCTTAAAAACAAGACATATAGTCTCCATCAATTACAATACACCGTGGAGGACTTTTACAACTGATGGGCTATTAGAAAGATTGTATAGGAAGTCCTTATTTAGTGACCGCCTCATTTAGTGCCTGTTCGGTTACAAGGGTGATGAAAAGTAACTTTATGAGCAATCCTTGCACTGACAACCTTTGCAGGTTTGCAAAACAAAGGGAAGCTGAAATCAGGTGAGAAATACAGTTGGGGTTTATTTAAGCAGCCACTTCACTTAACGATTAAGTTGCCAGTTCCAATTTTGGTCACTACATGAGGATGTGTGTAAAAAACACAGAAATAATCTTTGTTCTTAGAGCTATGGAACTGAAGAGGGTCTAAGTATGCCCCCACCCTTTGCACACGTATGTGACATTGATGGACATAGAAAGCAGGCAGGGCTTCGATTGCGGGGTGACAATCACAATCCTGACGTTTTGGACTCCCCTGTGGATGCTCCTGAACTGAAGATAAACTAGGAAATTGAGAAGAAAAAGTGAAATAATCATAATACTTGTAACTTGAATATCCAAAATGGTAGTTAACATTGACAGAATATTGGTCTTTTCTTTCTCTGATTGATATTCAATAAAGTACTCCACGACACCTAAATAACAGAATATTATGAACCTAAGTATATTGTACAAACATTATTGCACTGAAATAACATTATTATATAAAAGATTGAGCCAGTTCTATTTTAACACTTTATGCATAAATTATGTTCTCTTCAAATGTCACTCATTTAATCACAATTCTCTATATTCTCTTCTGATTTATTAGCCTCGTTATATTTTTAGCTGTACTTTAGCACATACTTCTCCTGGTGATGTTTTACCAGCACAGATACTCCTCGAGTTACAACAGTAATTGAGCCTGGGATTGCCGTCGCTAAGCGATGTGGCGGTAAAGCACAATGTTACGTGACTGCGGTGCTTGGAGACAACAATCTGGCAGTCCTGGTTGTCATTGTTAACCACAGGACCACACAGGTGGATAAATGGAAAGAGGTGAGAGTCTCAGGGAAGGGGTGACCGGGGTGGGGGGGTAGATGCTCTGGGAGAGCCAGCACAGCAGCTTATGAATTGGAGAAGCCTGGAAGGAACTCTTGGGCACGGCTAGTCTAGTGAAGAGAAGGACAGGGGGAGACAGGATAGCAGTGTTCCAATATTTGAGGGGGGGTCTCACAGAGAGGAGAGGGTCAACCTATTTTCCAAAGCACCTGAAGGCCAGGCAAGGAATAACGGATGGAAACTGATCAAGGAGAGATTCAACCTAGGAATAAGGAGAAATTTTCTGACAGTGAGAACAATCAACCAATGGAACAGTTTGCCTTCAGGAGTAGTGGGAGCTTCATCAATGGAAGCTTTCAAGAAGAGACTGGACTACCATCTATCAGAAATGGTACAGGGTCTCCTGTTTGGGCAGGGGGTTGGACTAGATGACCTACAAGGTCCCCTCCAACTCTGTTATTCTATTCATCTCAGAACAGAATAGAATGAAATTATGAAAGAATGGAATGGAATAGAATAGCATAGCATAGCATGATATGATATGATATGATAGGATAGGATAGGATAGGATAGGATAGGATAGGATAGCATAGCATAGCATAGCATAGCATAGCATAGCATAGCATAGCATAGCATAGCATAGGACAGGATAGGATAGGACAGGACAGAACAAGATGGAATGGAACAGAACGGAACAGAACAGATTAGAGAATAGAATAGAATAGAATAGAATAGAATAGAATAGAATGGAATGGAATGGAATGGAATGGAATGGAATGGAGTGGAATGGAGTGGAGTGGAGTGGAGTGGAGTGGAGTGGAATGGAATGGAAAATAGAAAATAGGATAGGATAGGATAGGATAGGATAGTGGAGTGGAATGGAACGGAAAAGTCATCTTTAAGTTGGAACACCCTTGTCTGGTCAAATTAAGCACTACTTTTTTTTCTCTTTCTAGAGTTCCTGGAGTTATATTTGGAACCCTCGGGACTTCATTGTGGTAAAAATGATTTCCCCCCCTTGCTTCCCTGATACATAGAAGCACTGCCAGCCGTAGGAAGCAAGGACCTGTAATGGAAGCCCTGCAAGGTCATTAACGGAGCCGGGGGACCGAGGTCAAGACAGTAGCAGCTTTAAATAGGAAAAGAACAGCAGCCAATTATTTTGGAACGGAGAGCAGCTGCCTTGTGGCAAGAACAGCTTGAGGAGCAGAAGAGGACTTCTGCTCAACAGCGAGAGTTATTTGTAATGATGAAGATCCTGGCATGGGAAAGAGACCTCCGGGACATGATTATTAAACTCCGAGTAGGTCTCCCAGCCACTTTGGGTGATTTCCACTAGTAGGGAGGTCTGTTATCAAATTATTCGTAAAGATTAGAAGGTTCTTTTCACAGATTCTGCCTGTAGTGGGGGATTAGTGAGGAAATAATGATTAAGCCAATTATTTTTAGTCGTACTAACCCTTTACAACTTATACACTGCTCCATTTCTGCAGATTCTGAGCAGCTTACCTTATAAATATCAGAAGATGAAACATTAAAGTCAGTTACAGATAGTCCTCAGCTTATGACCATTTGAAACACCCAGTGAGTGACCTGCTTTTGCTTTGGGATTCTCAGGCATGTATCCCCGTTTCTTTTCCCTCCAGTGTTGTCTTGCGCAACAAACAGGGATGAGAAATAGCAATAGCACTTAGACTTATATACCGCTTCACAGTGCGTTACAGCTCTCTCTAAGCGGTTTACGGAGTCAGCAAATTGCCCCCAACAATCCGGGTCCTGATTTTACCGACCTCAGAAGGATGGAAAGCTGAGACAACCTTGAGCTGGTCAGGATCGAACTGTTGGCAGTGGGCAGAGTCAGCTTGCAATACTGCATTCTAACAATTGCATTCTAACCATTCTAACCATGATTCTAACCATGATGGTAAGAATAGAATAGAATAGAATAGAATAGAAAATAGAATAGATAATGGAATGGAATGGAATAGCAATAGCAATAGAATAACAATAGCACTTAGATTTATATACTGCTTCATAGTGCTTTACAGCCCTCTCTAAGCAGTTTACAATGTCAGCATCTTGCCCCCAAACAATAATCTGGGTCCTCATTTTACCAACCTCGGAAGGATGGAAGTCTGTGTCAACCGTGAGCTGGTCAGGATCGAACTGAAGAATTGCAGAAGGGAAGGGTAACCTAACATTAGATCAGAAGTAAACCACCAATTTTGCCCCTATAGCAAAGTTCGCCGAAATGGTTAGTATCAACCCCCATGAGTTGATATCAGTATCCATTATTTTTGTTGCACCTGGCATGAATTTAAAATTTTAATCCCACCAATGTCACTCAATATAATCCATGCAAACAAACACTGTTTGGGATCCTCCATAATTGTTAGAAGTGGGAAGGGCTCTTGGGAGCAAAACGTTTTCAGAAACACTGCCGTAGCACAGAGGTCTCCGAACTTGCCAACTTTAAGTCTTATGGACTTCCCAGAATTCCCTAGCCAGCCATGGGAGGGGAATTCCACAATTCCACATGGGAGCTGAAGTCCACAAGTAGAGTATGGCCAAAACAGTCAAGATACCAGTCACAACAGTCACAATTAACACCCTACTGGACCCTATTTTATACATTGGCTGAAAATTAAAATAAAATACAATAAAAACTGCTAGTATGCTTAACTGTCCACACATTAACTCTCCTTTCAGTGCTCTAGTTTTCCTTCCATCACATGCAAAAGTATAATTCGTCAGCAAGTTCGGGAGGGATTCAGGAATAGCAACCTGGATCAAAAGGAGGAATTGCTGGGTTGCTTTTATAGGGCAAAGTGTGAGATTCTTACTTCTCTGGCACATGGGTCCTCGATAGCCTGGGGCGCACTCGCAGATTCCATCTTCCGGAGAGCAGGAACCTCCATTTTCACAGTTGCAGGCAATGGAGCAGTTGGGTCCCCAACGGCCTGGTGAGCACACACTGTCGCAATGGATGCCTGGGGACAAGCAAAGATGCGGATCAGTTGTGCAGATGGCATCTCTACATCGCTAAAACCCTGCATATTTCACTTGAAACATCCCAACGTTTCTTCAAACATAGGGAGGATCTGGATGGCGGCATCTTGAATGTAGGATGTCTTGCTGATAGCATTTCTGCTACAAAAAATATATTGTGTTTCCAATATTGCCTGGTTGGAAGCATTCAGCCCAGTTTCATCATGAATATAAAAGCTGTAGAACCTGGTTTTACAAGCACACAAGTCACCGGACAAGCCATTTTGAATTCACAACACTCCTCCAATGACATTATGATATGCATGTCATTACACACACACATGTATACAGGCCTTGTGGATGCTCATGCATTGAAGCATAAGATAGAACTGCTGGCTGAATTTGCAGACAATATGATCTATCTTGCCAAGCTTAGCATAGCTTGTTTTACAAATCCAATCTCACTGTTGAAATTTTAGCAGGGTCTCCTACTGTTTCCATGAGGTTAATTCTTTTATTTTTAATTTTCTATTGTAAATATTTTACATTGATACTCGGGGAGACCTATGTATGGGTGGGCAGCTTACAAACAGATAAATACGTTTCCTTAGATAATTATGCCAGACTTAGGATCCACAGCAAGTTTTCCCTTCTCAAGATGTTTCAGTCTCTGTGTTCAGAAATAGATAGATAGATGATAGACAGACAGACAGACATTCTGCAAACATGCAAATTCAGGTTCCAAAGGGCTACAGCTGGGCATTTTTATGCCACTCAAATCTACCCAGATGCTCTGTCGGCTGCTCTTTATTTAATTAGTGACATTTAAATAAAGGCCTCTACCCTTTTTATCATAATCTTATGAATTGAAATATTCTCGGAGGATCTCTGCAAATTCACCGTAGCCTGACAAGCAATTATTTGCGGATGTAGGTTTATCAAGAAAACCCTTTGATTATTTGGCTGAAACACGGGGGATTTCCACTGAGAACAATGCAGTCTACCCAGTGTGAAATGGGACAGAGAAAGCGAAAAGGGAGAATGCTGGCTAGTACAGCTTCACTACTGTTCCTGCAGAGAAACTGCTTGTTTATTTATGTGCAGTTTTTTTTTAAAAAAAACCCCAACAATGGTAAGCCTCATATATAATACAAAAACAGATCAATAAAAGAGAAGCAAATGAAAAGACCACATACAACATAACTAAGTTATAGCAAACAAAATCCTACTAGGGCTCATCCACCATCCTGTTGCGAGAGAAAATAGCCGACTTTTCAATTTTTTCAGAACGTTATGGAGGAAGGATCTCTGGGGTGATAGTAGTCCTCGACTTACAACAGTTCATTTAGTGACTGTTCAAAGTTACAACGGCACTGAAAAAAAGTCACTGATGACAATTTTTCACAGTTACAACCGTTGCAGCATCCCCATGGTCATGTGCTCAAAATTCAGACGCTTGGCAACTGACTTGTATTTAGAACAGCCCACCAGAAGTGTGTGGATGCCACTTCCAGAAGTCCGTTCTAGGCCTCAGAGGCCCAGGCCTGCATCCAATAAGCGAACCGGTTGCTCAGGTATTTAAATCCCACCACTGGGCACATGCCATCATAATGTAGAGGGGACCCTACTAGGACCCCAAGTGACCAAGTTAAAATCCACCCTCAGTTATGGAGGATGTCTTTGAAGTAGACAATGTCTCTCTCTCTCTCTCAGTCCAAGCAATCTCACAATGTTGTTATTGTGGAGAGAGAGAAAAAAAAATAAAAGAAGGGATTGCTGTGTACTAAACCTGGGCAACTGGAGGAAGGCAGAATGTTAATTAATCAATCAAATTGGTCCCAAAAATAAGTTTAGGATGGGCCATAGGAACATTGCCTGCTCTATCTCTCTTGGGATGGATGACCTGTTCTCCGGGGGAATGGTGTTGAAGTATAAAGGATCAAGACCATATTTTAAATTGAGGTTCAAGGATTTAATGTATACAAGAATCTGGTCAACTAAAGTTCAATACTAAATGGGTGCCAGATAAGGGTCAACGGAATTCAAGAGGGGTTAGACTTGGACAACGTAACAACTCTAAGCTAATGACTCGCTTAACTTCGCCCCCAGCTCTGCCTGCTCCTCTCCTACAGATGGAAGGATGCTGAAAGTAATTGCATTAACCTGCCCACAAGCTATTTGTATCTTTGAGTTGTTTAATCCTGTGATGGATTGTCCCACATCATCTTCAAGACAGGAGAGCAGACTTCTGCAATTAAGCCCAAGCAGAGTTTAAAGGAATGGCTGTCATGTTTCCTCCCCAGTTTTGACAGGAATATTTGGAGGAGAATTCTTTTATTGTGAGATAGGTTATTTATACACGGAGACAATTATGAAACATTATTCCTTATCTTAGCTTTGAGGAGAGTGACAGTGATCCCTTCTTCTTATTCTTTTTTTTTAAGAGAGATGCTTTAAAATGCATTCTCTTCTTCCCAACAAAAAAAAGCACCTCTGGCGGAAGACTAATGAGCACAGTCGTCTCAGGACTAAATAAAGACAAAATGATTTCTAATGAAGATATTGTTCTACTGCAACAGCGAGAGAGAGAGAAATGATGGCAGGAAGTCCTTAATTGTACCTAGCAAAATCACACCTTTTAACTCTGTTGATATTCAGAAGCACAGAGATGCTACAAATATCTTAAATGGCCCTTTTAGATGTTTTTCAAATACCCGCTGCCCTTACTGAGATTTAGTGCGTTGAAAGCTGCATTTGACTGCATCTGATTCATAGGGCAATTATATATATACACAAAACAATATAGAATAACATAGAATAACAGGATTGGAAGGGACCTTGGAGGTCTTCTAGTCCAACCCATTGCTCAGGCAGGAAACCCTATACCATTTCAGGCAAATGGCTGTCCAGTTTTCTTCTTAAAAACCTCCAGTGACGGAACACCCACCATTTCTCAAGGTAAGCTGTTCCACTGATTAATTGTTCTCCCTGTCAGGAAATTTGTCCTTATTTCAAGGTTGGATCTCTCTTTAATTATCTTCCACCCATTGCTTTTTTACCTGCCCTCAGGGGCTTTGGAGAGTAGGTTCATAGTGGCATCTCCTGATATAATTTCCTTATATAATTTGTTATAAACCTTTTTTAATTTGTTCAGTGGCTCCCAGCTCTGGATGGCATCCACAGGATAAGAGTACCAGGGAGCATGTGGTCTCTCTTTGCTTTCCTACATGCTTGAGAAGCTGGAAAGTGTGACGTGCAACAATAGGAATGGCTGTGTGAAGCCACGATTGGGAGATTTTACAGGGAAGGTGCAGTGATAATGGGAGGGGGGGAAGAAGAGATCTTTGCCCACCCAATAATTCTCAAGGTTCTTTGAGGAAAGCCATACTGGTTTTAAGAACATGAGGATTATCTCCTTCTTCCTGAATAACTAATCTAACCATCACCGGATAATACACCATGTTGTACTGTCACTATGGTGACCAAATTCCCTGCCATGGTGGTGAATTAATTTTATGATTAGGTGATGCTCAGAAACAAAGAGATAATGATAGATGGATGTTGATGTTCGCCCTACAAGGCAGGCCAGACTAAGAAAAAAGCGCCATAAACACTAATTTTTACCATAACAGTTACAGTAACAGAATCCTGAAAGTCTGATGGGCTTCCCTCCGCCCATGATCTGTGGAGATTCTCAATCATCCAGGTCAGGGTTGTCCCAAAGGTGCTTTTTCAAAAGGCAACTGGCCTTCATGTTTTCGCTTGAAGACATTTCGCTTCTCATCCAAGAAGCTTCTTCAGTTCTGAATGAACTGAAAAACTGAAGAAGCTTTTTGGATGAGAAGCGAAACATTTTCAGGGGGGGGTAGGGTTAGAGAGCACTAATATGTCTAAGGCTAAGCGCTATTGCTATTGAATAAGGTCTCCTGGCTTGGATGCAGAGTTGGACTAGATGACCTCCAAGGTTCCTTCCAACCCTATGATTCTGGGAAGCTAATGCTTGTTTGCTGGAATGCAGCCTTCTTAATTTGGGGAACATTGGGCCTCAAAAAAACCCCAAACTTGATCGAAGAACTCTGTAAACCATTTAGAGAAGGCTGTAGAGCACTATGAAGCAATATATGTCTAATTGCTATGGCTAATTGCTACCGCAGAAGTTGGAAGGACATTGGACCATTGGCAATTCAGGGGAGACATTTTCAGGGGCAAATGAGGTGGTTGGGGGTGGCATAAATGGCAAGATGGTAGCTACCACCATGCCAAGCCTTGGTCTCTGCCAGCTCAACTGCTTTTGATACTCCTGGCAATGCTTTAAATGCTTCTTCACATTTTAATTATTTAGCCTAGTATTTAATCACATTAAACTTCTTGTATAAATTATACTGGATTATTATTATTATTGGCATTTTAAAAAATAAGCATAATGTGAAAATCCAAAATGGAAGACCAAATAGCCATAGAAAGAACAGCAGATTATTCTCCTTCAAAATAAAAAAAAGAGGGGGGGTAAAATAACTCTATGATGCTGTTTTATTTAAGTGCAATTGAAGGAATATTTCAAATTTTAAAATATGCACTTTTAGTACCAAGTAAAAGATTGAAAAGTTCTCATTCAATTTATTGAGAGAGACTTTGCTTCTGACTTTTTTTTTTCCAAAGGAAAAGAGAATTTCAGAAAATTCTCCTGAGTATTGCTGCAGTTCTTTAGCTAATAATAAGTTGGCCAAGGCATCTCTCTCTGTGTTTGTGTGTTTGTGTGTTTGTATGTGTGAATGGCCTTTCTTTCATGTCACAGACCTCTCTGTGGCTTCCTTAAACATTTATTAATCCCAAGGGGAATCGGAAGAGTTTCAGAAAGATGGAAAGCTGCAGCACAAAACAATATTTTCAGCAGAAGTTTGCTCCGCTTTACCAAACTTAGGTTGGGTCAAAAATATTTTGAGAAATTGAAAATTAAGGTTTTGGCAAACCACCTTGGATGAACCCTGGTTCCCCCTCCTAA